ACACACCTAGTTTTTCATTTTAATTATTTCTTTAAAGGTTTATTTATTTTTCTTGGAAAGTCAGATTTACAGGGAGAAGAGGAGGCAGAGAAAGATCTTCTGTCTGCTGGTTCACTCGCCAGGTGGTCTTAATGGCCAAAGCTGAGCTGATCCAAAGCCAGGAGCCAGGACCTTCTTCCTGGTCTCTGACACAGGTGTAGGGTCCCAAGGCTTTGGGCCATCCTCAACTGCTTTCCCAGGCCACAAGCAGGGAGCTGGATGGGAAGAGCAGCAGTGGGGACATGGACTGGCACCCACATCGGATCCCAGTACATCGAGGCGAGGATTTAGCTACTGAGCCATTGCACTGGGACCACACACACACTTTACTGAAGGCCTTCCAAATAGTCCTCCCCCAATTCTATGACCCCATTTACCCGATTTATTGCCACCCTGACAGACACAGTAACCTCAGTGCTGCTTAAATGCCTTAAAGAAATTCACTCTTTTTGCAAAATGCATTTACACTGACACTTGAGACCATTGGGGAGTAAACCAGCAGATGGAAGATTTTTCTCTGTTATCTCCTTCTCTCTGTAAATCTGACTTTCCAAAAAAAAAAAAAAATAATAGTAATAATTACATCTTTAAAATTCATTCTTGTTAACTTTCATTTTTGCGATTTTAATTTTTTAGTCATAGCTAGATTTGGAGTTTGATTTTAGTTATAGTTCAATAATGCATGTTTTAAATAAAATTTGCATCATAGCAGATAAGACAATAGAGTTAACAATGGTTGAGCATTGATCTACTGCTCAGAAAAATCTTCTAATATGAGCAAGAGGTTTGGTAATAATTCACTAAAATTTCCTCCAACTACTTGTAACAGCCTACATAAAGCCAGTAATGATAATATTTTAATTAACCATAAGGATCAATACCTAACATCATTGCATTTTGACAATCGAATAAGGATTAATAGGATGCTTCTTTTCTCAAGAAATTAAATCACAGGGAAAAAACGTCACCTCCTGGTCACACTCTAACACAGCAAGGTTTTCATTGTAAACTTGCCTTTCAGAACCTTTACATTTCAGAAAGATGAGGGGGACGGATCCTGTGCATTTACTAATCTGTAAACAGAGAACCGGGCCAAGAATCAATTCTGAAATGCGGCATCAATTGCACAGGCTTCCACTTAGTTTTAGTTGAATAAAAGCCCTACTAGATACGCAAATAACATCAAACTTGCTGGATTAAAGCGAAGCCCCTCATACTCTAAATCATGATTGTCAATCATCACCTAGGATTAAGGAATATATTTTTAAACCCTAAAAGCCAGCGCTTCCTTTTAACTTCTGCCTACTGCGCAGTTTGGATTATGGCCCAGAAATAGTATTACTTGAAACAAGACTGCCTCCCTCCTACCATCCTTGAGAAGTACATTGTTAACATCTGCTGTCGCCTCTTCGGGATAAAACTCAGCCAGGCACACGGCTTAACGCCCACAGCCCTTCCGCACACTGCTTGGAACACAGCTTCACATTTAAATAGAGCTGATTTTCCGTTTACTCAGTGTTTTCCTCACACTGCTGTCCTCCTCACCAGAAAAAAAGTAAATTAGTCTGAGAACGAAGACGACCTCAACACATTCACTTTGGAGGGTGAACTTCCTTGAAACTCTGCAGGGACCGGCGGATTTCCTGACAAACTCTCCAAGCTTACCCGCGGGAACCACCTCCCCATTTTGTAGTTTCTCATTAGCATTTACCTCTCCAGGCATCTAGGTTACTCCCACTGCTAGAAAATAGTTTTTGAAAAGGTATGTCAGCAAGTAAAAACAGAAAGATGTAATAACTAAGGAGTCTTGAGACATTTTATGTTTGATGGAGAAGGGAAGTTTGTGAAGGAGTTAGAACAAGGCTAACGGCAAAATATGTGATCCCAGCCAAGAGATCTTTGCACGTGCAAGCGGTACCTTTAAGGTGTCTCCGAGAAAGTGGGGTGGGACACTGAGAGCCGGCAGGAGGAAATACACTTCATGGTTTTTGTTATTTTGTGCTTCTTACAATGTAAATGTATTAACATTTGAAATGTATCAAATATTCTTAAATTACAACCAACAGTGGAGTTAAAATGATGAAGAACATACTCATATGCTGATTATTCAAATTTTAAGTCATATTCCAAGACTAACTAATCTTATCAAGAAATAACCTTTTAATAAGATTATTAAAGCAAAGTGTTAATTTATGAGAAGTTCAATGTTCTATTAAAATGCTAACAAAACAGTGAATTACAACACAACAGGTTGCTTGTTGGAATTCATTCATCCACTCCTGGCAAAGCCATTCCAAATTTCAACTTAATTAATATTCCTTCTCCTGGTTTCCATAGTTTCTTTTTAAACATTAGTACCAGCAGAAACTGGCAGTGACTTTAGCCATATTCTCAATAATAACCCCCTCTGGCTGTCAATATGCATGAAAAGGAAAATTTTTTCCATACCCAGAAGGACAGCCATTTTTGTATCTTTTGTTTAAAAAATACACTGGTAGTAACACTGCTTTGTCCCCCTTTCTTATTTTGTGTATTCGGGCGGCGTACTTAACTCTTTCCTTGCCTGTGGTTTCCTCAATGCCCAACGTGAATACTGAATATCAACAGTAGCGTTGTCTTTCCTAGAGCTAAACGACACCTTCTCCTGCTACCTGTCACAACCTCACACTAGAGTGCTCACAGAACCGGAGCCTGGCAGGATGCTGTGTCCTGCATAACAGCAAGCTAGGTGCAAGATTGCTCCAACACCTGAATGTAACATGTCCTGCAAACAAAGGAACACATTGGCAAGAAACTATTTCTATGAGTAACTAGCAGAAAGTCCACCACAAGGCAGGCTCTGGCACAACCATTTCACTGTACCTCACATGACACCATCTAGCCGAGAGGATGGAATCACAATCTCACACTGAATCTTCTCCCCCAGCCTCAACTCCTCTTGCATCAGTGTCTTTGTTCTAGTGTCTTCTTCCAGGAGTCACAACGTATCAGGCAATTTTGCTAGGCTGCAGCAGCACGCCAAACACTTCTGAATTCAGTTGAATCTAGAATGTTCACATCTTTCTGTCATGGTGCTGCTGCATTTATGTTTCATTTGGCTTCTCTATCTGTGCCCACTGAAACATTCCACACTACTTGTGGAAAACACTGCTGCCCACAGTATATGTCTGTTGTGCCTTACAATGAGACTGATAGCCTAGGGAGTGGGCACTTGGCCTAACTGTTAAGACATCTGCCTCCTCTATTAAGAGTACCCGGGTTCAATTCCTGGCTCTGGCTTCTGATCCCAGCCTTTCCACTAATGCAGACATAGGGAGGCAGCAGTGAGAATTCACGGATTTGGGTCCCTGCCACCCACACGAGAGCCCTGGATTACAGTCTCAGCTTTAGTCCCTGCCTGACTCCAGCAGTTGCAGGCATTTTGGGAGTGAACTAGCAGACAGGAGCTATTTTTCTATGTCTACTGAGTCAATTAAAATTTCAAAAGTCACAGTTTTATTGAGTTGACACGAGATCCATTTCTTGTCCCTGAGACTTGACTTCACAGAAACTGAAAGATAAACTTAACCAAGAATCTCATGGTGATGCCAGTTAAGCTAAATTCTAAGTTACACCTTGAGTAACTGCACAGGTGGTACACATGAAGCTGCTGTTTTTACCACTGTATTTAAAACCTGAGCTTCTCTCTCACCAACCTTTTCTCTATACCTAATGTGTCTTTCCCCTTAAAGCACCAGAGAATGCCTAATGTAATACAGAATTATTTAATTATGTTGATCACCTGGTTTTAGTTGCTAGAATCTAAGCTTATGACATCTTGGTTCAGTGGTTGGCTCTACAGACTCAAGCACACGCCTATCATACACAGTACAGTGAGTATCATGCACAGTGAGGACTCATTAAGCATCTGTTGAATTGAAGGAATGGTAAGACAAGCTCATGGGTACTGCTTAGGCCTCCAAGTCACTCTGTAGTGGTGATTCTTCACTGGAAACATGCCACATTGCTTTCTAAACTTTGGGCATCCTTCCACAGAAAACAAAAGAGACACCAGGGGCTCTCAATTCACAAGCTTTTATGGTTATTCATTTGTGAATTTCTAAGTTAAGTGGGCAAAGTATCCTAAAATTGGCCCCTTTTATTGCCCATCTCTGAAGCTGGTCCAAGCTTTAGGATCTGGCAGGTCCAATCCAGTATTCAGGCAACATTATTAACAACTAATCTATTCATTCTTACTCACTGCCTCAGCATAACACAAAGCAGAGCTCATTCCTTAAGTTTTACATATTGGCTTGAGTATTTCTAAAGTTTGTTGAAGAAGCTCCAAGATGGCCAAACAGGGAACAGTTGTGCTGATGTTGACCACCGGAAGATAACAGAAGAGAAACAGAGCAACTGCATTTGAGGGGAGATTTGAAGAAAAGTTTACAGTGGAAATTCTACAAAATGAAGAGATGTTGCTGAGCAGCATGGATGGTACAAATGGAAAAACCAGCAGCAGTGTCCGCAGCGGGCACTGGATGAGACGCCACCTTCTTGTAGCAGCCTGTGCCACTAATGATGCTCCCTGAAGGAAACCCTGTGGACCACACTGAGGGGAGCAGAGGCTGCTGTGGCTTGTGGGCACATGCCTGGCAAGGGGAGTTTATCAGAGTACAAGTCCGTGATCCTCACTGACTCTGCAGGGCTGGCAGAGAGTGAGTCACTGACGGAGGTTCCACACTAAGGGCCCTACAGACAGCTTTGTGCGGTTCACGTATCTGTGTAGGTGGGGTACACAGCCACTGTGACCTCCCCCTAGGCAGAGAGGAAGTGAGGCTACAATCATGCTGGCTGACATGATCCTACCCTTCCCAGGCTGACAACAGAGGAAGCCCACCACACCCAACCTGGATATCACCATGGACTTCTGTCTCACCCTTGGTGCTGCCGGAGACTCCGTGGCTCCACCCAGTACACGCCTCTGGATATGCACTGAAGAGCAGGGACGCCTCTAAGCCACAGAGGTACATTTCAAAGATAGAAGCCAGCAAAGAAGAAAATCAGATGTTTCCATAAATGCCTAAAAATAAACATGGAAATACAAGAAACATAAGCAAGGGAAAAAAATGTGACTCCCTCAAAGGAACCAAACAACACTTCAACATCAGAATGTGAAGACGAAGAGCTTGGTGGTATATCTTAAAAGGAGTTCAAAATAATGACTATAAGAATATATCTAAAAAAGCAAAAACAAAAACAGAGAAGCAAGTATATGTGCTAAAAAAATCCATACACGTCATGGATAAAAATATTTACCAGAAGACAGAATAATGATAGAAATCAAACTTAAAAAAAAGAAAAATTCAATATTAAAAAAAAAGTATGATGGAAAGCCATAACAACAGACTTGGTGAGGAAAAAAAAAAAAGAAGAATATCCAAGCTAGAAGACAAATATGTGGAAATATCTGACAAAAAGAAAGAAGAAAAAAGGAAAAACTTACAATACTGTTAGACACTCATGGGATATTATGAAATGAAATAACATACGTTCCTTAGGAGCTTATGAAGGTATGGAAAAAAATGGATTAGAAGGCCTGTTCAGGGAAATAAAAGTAACAGATTTCCTTAATTTGGAAAAATGATGGGACATCCAAGCACAGGAAACACACAGAACTCCTAATAGACATGACCCGAAATTGTCTTCACTTGGACACGTTACAGTCCAATTTTCAGTGGTAAAACACAAACACTTCTCAGACATGCCTGAGAGAGATGCCAGATCACCTTTAGAGGGTCTACAACCAGAAAGACAACTAAGTTTTTCATCAGAAGCCATACAGACAAGGGCAAGTCCAAGTCAAAAAACAAAACAACAAAAACCTGTCAACCCACAATTCCATAACCAGCAAAACCCTTATTATTGAAGGAGAAATAAGAACCTTCCAAAACAAACAGAAATGGAAAGAACTTGCCACGATTCCTTCACCATTACAGATGAGACTTAAGGATCTGCTACACACAGAAACAGAGACAGTCACCAGAATGGAAGAATGTGAAGGTGGAAAGGAAATCCAAGCAACAGGAACACAGCAGGATCAATAACATCCATAATATGGAATGTAAATGTTACAGATCAATAACTTTGTAAATGGCCTAAATTCTCAAATTAAAAATGCAGACTGGCTTAGTGGACTAAAAACATTCCACTTGCTGCCTACAGGAACCACACCTAACCAACACACAGACTGGAAGTGAAAAGACAGAAGAAGGTATTCTACGCTAATAGAAAATGAAAACAAGCAGAAGTAGCCATCCTAAAGTCAGACAATAGAAGCCTTAGCAGGAAAACTGTTAAAAGAGCGTTATGTAATGATTAAGTAGGCTGTGTGATTGTAATGTATGTGTATGCCCTCAATACCAGGGTGTCTGCCTATCTAAAATAAATATTATTGGAATTAAAGGGAGATTCCAACACAATAACAATAAGCTGCATGTGGGAGTATAAAGCAAGTCTCAATAAATTACAACCATACCATGGTTTGAAATTTGAAACCATACCATGAATCTTCTCTGATCACAATGGAATGCTGGAAATCAACAACTTAAGAAACTCTAGAAAATACCCAAACATCTAGAGACCAAATAATGTGTTCCTGAATGAAGGGCCTCATAGAAAAAAAACCAAAAGGGAAATCCAAAAAGTCCAAGGAAACAAATGGAGGCAACAACACATCAAAACATATAGGATGCAGCAAAAGCAGTATTAAAAGGGAAGATCACAGTCAATAGTGTCTGCATCAAGAAACTGCAAAGCAATAGCCTAGTGTCTAAAGTCCTCACCTTGCACATGCTGGGATCCCTTATAGACACCAGTTTTAGTCCCGGCAGCCCTGCTTCCCGTCCAGCTCCCTGCTTGTGATCTGGGAAAGCAGTGGAGGATGACTCAAAACCTTGGGACCTTGCACCTGTATGGGAGACCCGGAGGAGGTTCCTGGCTTCGGATAGGCACAGCTCTGGCCATTATGGCCACTTAGAGAGTGAATCATAAGACCAAAGATCTTTCCTGTCTTTCCTTCTCTCTGTATATCTGACTTTCCAATAAAAATAAAACCTTAAAAAAAATAAACTGCAAAGGAATCAAATAAATGATATAACCTTAGAACTTAGAAAAACAAGAACCAACCAAACCGCAAATTAACAGGAGGAAACAAATCACTTAAATTAGAGAATAAACTAAATATAATGCAATAGATCAGTGAAATAAGAAGCTGGCAAAAAGTTAGTTTTCCTGAAGAAATACACAAAATTGATGCACCATTTGCCCAACTAACCAAAACATGGAGGAGGGTAGATCCAAATAAATAAAATCAGAGACGAAAAAGGAGACTTTACAATGGATACCACAGAAATGAAGACTCACCAGGAATGATTACAAACAGCTATATGCTATATGTTCTAGAAAATCCAGAAGAAGTATATAGATTTCTGAACACAAAATTGACCAAAATTTAGTCAGGATAACTGAAAACCTAACAGAGCAACAACCAGGATGGAGCCTGAACCTCTGAAGGCACTCCCAAGTCTGGGTGGCTTCACTGCTGAATTCTACTGAATTTTTCAAGAATTACAGTTCTACTCAAACTATTCAAAATGAATGGAGGGGAGGAATTCTTCCCTAACTCCTTCTCTGAGGCCAGCATCACCGTAACAGTAACATCTGAGAAAGACACAAAAAAAGCAACAGAACTATAACAACAATATCCCTGATTAACATAGACACAAAAACTGCCATTAAAATGTTAGCTGATCAGATCCAAGAATACATCAGAAAGAACATTCTCCCACAGGAAGTGGGTATGCAGGATGGGTCAATGTGTGCAAATCAATAAACATGATACTTCATAGGAACAAATCAAAGAATAAAACTACATAATTACCCCCAATAAATGCAGAGGAAACAGTTGATACAACATCATTTCATGATAAAAACCTTAAGTAAACTGGGTATAGAAGCAACGTTCCTTAACGCAATCAAGGCAACACATGGCCAATCCACAGCCAGCATCACACTGAACAAGGAAAAGCCGGGAGCATTTCCACCAAGATCCACAGCCAAGCAGGGCTGCCCACGTTCATCACTGTCATTCAATACAGCTCTGCAAGGGTCAGCCAGTCATTAGGCAAGAAAAAGATTTCAAAGGGATACGAACTAGAAAGGAGGAAGTCAGATTATTTCTGTTTTCAGATTACATGATCCTTTACACAGGGAAACCAAAAGACCACAGTAAGAGACTACTGGACCTCAAAGGGAGTTTGGGAAAGTTACAGGACATAAAACCAATACACAAAAGCAACAGCCTTTGTAATATACAAATAATGTCATGGCCGAGACAGAACCTGCATATATCTTCACTTCCCAGTGTTAGTCTTCATCACACAGTTCTTCTACAAGAATATATGTAAATACATGTTCACCGACGTAAATGTTTTGTGTTGTGCATGAACATTACCCTAGAACATGATACTTGTCCTTTTGGGATTGGCTTAGTTTCACCGAACATAGTGGCCTCCAGTTGGGACCATTTTGCTGTAAATGGTAGAATATCATTTCTTTTTAATGACTGAGAAGGCTGCAGTACGCATTTCTACTCCCCAATAAAAGGACCGCCCACAGTGAGACCCAAAAATACCTTGACAAAATGATACTAGAATTCCTACCATTGCCTATTACGACAATGCCACGAGGCACATGAACAGCAGAACGTTGGACTTGTGACTGTTGCTAAAGGACTATGCTTTTGTAACAACATGGAGGAAAACATTCTGTTGTGGGGGGAGAATGGAAAGGGAGGAACAAGAGACCAGGGGAGAAATCCTGGTACCTACAATCATAGGAAATAATTTTTTTTAAAAAAAGAAAAACTTGTAAGATCACTCCCATCATAATAGCTCCAAAAATATGTAATTACCTTGGAAGGAATTCAAACAAGGGAGTGAAAAGATCTCTACAATGAAAATTACAGAACACTAAAGAAATAGAAGACAAAAATGGAGAAAATCTATCATGCTTGTAGATTAGAAGAATTGATTCCATCAAAACAATTCAGAGATGCAATGTAATCCCAATTAAAATGCCAAGGGTACGCTTCTCAGACCTAGACAAACGAATGCAACGGACACCTCGGGGTATGTGTGCTGTTTTTAGCCCTTTCCATACTCCCATGAAACTGCGGTCTTCCCACTTTGCTGAGTACTATGGCTGGTGGTGAAGTAAGCCTGTGATTACAGAACAAAGAGAAAGCCTGTTCTTGCAAAATTTTTAAAAAATAAAAAGGCAAGGACGCGGATTGAGAGAAAAGGAAGGAAACGATTACTGTCTTACAACTGTAACTTCGAAATAACATAAATCCAATCTCTTGATACTAACAAAAGAAAGTTGTGCAAAGTGGAATTTATTTTGCTGCAAAATTTCTTTTAAACCCATGTATATAAAGGCTGTCCAAAAAGTTTAAGGAAATACATATTGTTAAACTATGCATGGCTTGCCTGGTGCCGACTTTGGGTCCCCACCCTCTCTTGTAATGACCATCAGGATCACTCCAGAAACCCCTCAAAACAAACGAACAAACAAACTAGAATAGATAGAGAACAGCAAGGAAAGCTTAGAAATAGGAAATGGGCAGGGGGGATGCACTTATAACTCACTGGGTGGGACACAAAGATTAGTTGCTCCTCATTGGGGTATTGAAGATTTCTCTGCACACCCCTCCTAAAACTGTTCACCTAAACTGTTGACATATGTCTTGTTATAGAGTTAGACTACCCGAAAAACAGCCACATTCTGCAAAATCATGCTTCAACGCTATAAACTGCTAAATACTAAAATTAAAATAGACATGAGACAGCTGAATAGTAATCTATAGCCATTTTAAGGTGTATAGAACCCAGCTGAATATAAACTAATAATTGTAATGTCAATGTAGAAGTCATAGGATGTGATTCAGAACTTGTACTCTTTTTTTTTTCTCTCTCTCTTTTAACATGCTGGTTACACAATACCATGTCAACTAATTCCATTATGTTATAAATTGTTACTGATGTAATGTCGGGGCTTTTAATTGATTGGGATGATACTCTGTTGGCTCTACCTTCAGACCAGAGTCGGTCTCCCCAAGAAACTGTTGAACTTATCTGGACAATTAGATGCTGGATTCTATGCTTTGTAGATGCTTGCAAGGAAAGAATCTCAACTGAATCTGAACTGTAGTAATGCAACAAGGTGGAAGAATCCACCATGGGGGGGGGCGGGTTTTGGGGAGGGGAGGTGGGAATCCCAGCGCCTATAAAACTGTGTCACATAATGCAATGTAATCAATAATTTAAAAAAAAAAAACTATGCATGGATTTCAGATTTTTTTTGCAACAAAATAATCTTATCTTTTAATTTCGTTGTTCTCACAGATTTTCTGAAGTGCTTTCAGATTTGCAACTTCTGATGCAATGGAGGGCCACTCTATGAACTTGTTGGACAATTAAGTGTGAGAAGCATGAATTTTCAAAAGTTAGAACAAGTTTAAATAGTTATGTTGATAAAAATTCATGACATGAGTAAGTAATGGGATTCAATTCTGAGAATTAATGGGATTTTACACTTTTCAAGTTTTTTGGTTTTTGCTATGATTTGCCTTTTGAAAGTTGCTGGGCAGTTAGGGTTTTTCAAAGGAGAAAAATTCATTCCATTCTGAGATGTTACCTTTGAAGAAAATTATCTAGGACAGGCTCATTTGTTACATACCATGAATGGTTCAACACCAAGTGGTTGAACTTGAATATGTAGTTATAAAAAATAACCAAATCCAGCTACTATAATAGGATCTATTGATCTGGGGGTTTAATAGCATAGGTGCCCATTTGAGCTCTACCTTCCCCTATATAAGTAGAGTTTGCCTTGCATTTCTTCATGTCTGAACTCTTGTACTTATAAAATGGTATTGGTACGACTAGAGTCTACCACATACAATCTTTGTGTAGACTTAATGAGAAATCATTAGAAGGGCAATGGCACAGGGTAAGCGTTCCACAACCATCACCATTAGGTGTTGCAGACGTGCACTGGCCTGTGCGAGGTTCCTGAGGCAGTGGAGAAGTGCTTTCGTCTGAGTAGAGTTAGACAGGCTTTCTATGTGCGTATGTGACTGACATTAAAATGGACTAACTCAGGATTTGAGAAATCCACTCTGCTGTGACTGACCTTGTTCCTTCTCAATCATTTTGAGGCAAAAAAAACACTAATGGGCCTTGGAATCAGGAGTGAGGAGGTGGGGCAGAAAGCCTCTTTGAGCCTGGATTTGGAGCATGAAGGCTCTTGGAGGGTTTTTGGATGGGCGTTAAATTGGCCTCAACATCTGGTGCCTGATAGAAACTCCACAGGGTCCAGGATGGCATTTGGGGTTCATGAACTTGACAAAAAACAGCCAATGGCAGAGAAAATCTCTTCTGGAGCTGTCCTCTGGCTATTACCCCATGCATGCAGTAAACATTATTCACCACCAGCTTGGGGTTGGGGGAAATTTGAGGTGCTGGATTGGAGTTGTGGAACTTTCCATTTATTTTAACACATCGACTTCCATAGTTCAAGCCTGTAAAGCAGAGAGTGCACTGCTGTTTTTTCTGGCTAACCTATGCTGCATTTCTACAATGTTTACAATACTTAAACCACACATACATTGTTTCAGAAATGAGAAAAGGGAAATATAGTATAAATAATGTTTTAATCCATCTACATAGGAATTGGTATTTTCTCTTTTGAGGCCAAATGATACTAATTATTCAACAAACAGATCATGCTAGTTATTTACTCTTTTCAAAAATATGAGAACATGTGTCGTTGGATTCTACAATATTTTTAACACTATTTAAAATATTCTACAATTTTTTTTTACTGCTAATGGTTCTAAATAAAAATTTAGCTATGTTTCATCCAATTCGTTTCTTGAACTAGCCTTATTAGAATATAACTTAAAATTCAGACTATACAAACTCCCAAAGGAGTATTGCAAAGTGAACACACTTCTGATCAGCAGCTCGCTTCAGACAAAACACTCACCTTCCCTGCCCAGTGTGGGATGCTGAGCACGAGGAGGTAGAAAAGTTATCCAAGTGGCAATGTTTCTTTTCCTGCTAGAAATGTAGGACTTCTACTTGTTTCAAACTTTCCAAAAGAACTGTAAGAGCTCCTGAATGTCTGCCATTCTGTGGCACACGTAATGACATCTCATTATACATGGTTTTGATTTGCAAATTTCAATGGCCAGGCAGGTCAATCACTTTTTTTTTTTTAATCAATCTTTTGTGCACTAAAAATCTTTTGTGGATCATGTCTTAATTTTTTTTTTTTGGCCTAGTTTTCTGTTGGGGTATTTTTCTTCATAATTTTGTAGAAATTCTTCATATGTTTTGGACACAAATCTTTCATAGCTATTGATTCTGCAAATCTTTTTCCTTTTGTATCTTTTCAATGTCCTAACTTCTATAAATAAAACTTAACAAGAATCTCCATACCTGTAACTTGCTCTCCAACCTGCTGGCCAGCTCTGGAAGTTCCAAAGTCCACTCGTTTTCTGCCTTACACAACTGGGAAAGAGAACATTTTTTTCCCCCTTTTAATCCACATACGATTCTCATTGTTAAAAACAAGAGTTCCAAAAACAATTCTACCATAGCAGAATGGATTTCTTTTTTTTTTTTTTAAGATTTATTTTTATTATAAAGGCAGATATACGGATAGGAAGATCCCCAAGCGGCTGCAATGGCCAGAGCTGAGCTGATCTGAAAGCCAGGAGCCCGGAGCTTCTTCTGGGTCTCCCAAGTGGGTGCAGGAACCCGAGTATGGATTTCTTAAAAGCTCTGTTGAACCCACGGCAAACACAAATTAGCACAAATAATGCCTAATTTGAATGGCATCCAAGTTAAGATGAATTTATTACCTGCACATGCCTAAACTATAATAAAAATATGTTACCCAAGTTTTAACTTTCACTTCTGAGTGCTTAATTCACCTATAGCCTATTTTGTTTATGGTAGTAAGCAGGGAGTCAAGATCAATTTTTTATGTATATATCATATGCAAAGGATTTTATTAAAAAACTGCTTTCTCCTCTTCCATGCCACTTTTGTAAGAAATCAAGTATCCATTAATGAAGTGGTTCTACCTTTGAACCTTCTATTCCTGCTTACAGTCCGACCTGTCAATCCTGTGTTAGTGTCAGCCCCACCTTCACTACTGCAACTTGGTGTTTAGCAGCTGGTGGGCAAAGTTCTCCAAGCTTTTCAAGAATATCTTGCCCAAAATGGACTGGAATTTCAGAATCAGTTTGTCAATTCCCACAACAAATCTGTTTGTTAAATTTGCGCATCTCTTTGTGGAGATGTGATTGTAACACTGTCTTCTTAAGCATGAACATGCCCGTTCATTCCTCTCACTTCACCCCCTTTATTTCATTCACTGTCTGTATAGTCTCAGGCATAGATATCTTGCCTGTCTTTCACTAGCGGATGTTTTTGTAGTAAGAATGACTTAAATTTCAATTTTAAAGTGTCTGTTGCCCATGTAAATATTTTCTCATGAACTGACTTTGAGTCAGACGACACAGTGACTTTCGTATCTTCTGGTTCACACCTGAAGCAGCTGCACACAGCAGGAAGTTCACCAGGGTGGCAGAAGTTCAAGTACACAGACAGCACTTGCTGCTTCCCAGGCTAGCTGTCACGGAGCTGCACTGGACGTGGAGCCGTGGGGACACACACACAACTCTGACACAGATATGGGCTTCCCACGTGGCGGCTTCACCCATACCACAGTGATGGTTCCCATTGCAGCGTTTTTTACTCCTGAGTTATTTACAATTGCATTGTTTCATCTCCAAATGCATGAAAAGTTTTAATATCCTTTTTATTTCTACTTTAGTTTCACTGTAGTCAGAGGACACAGTTGGAATCATTTCAAAATTGTTAAGACATCACAGTTTAGTATAAGGCCAGCTTTTTTTTAAAATTTATTTTTATTGAAAATCAGATTTACACAGGGAAGGAAAGACAGAAAAATCTTCCATCCGCTGGTTCACTCCCTAAGTGGCTGCTATAGCCACAGCTGAGCTGATCGGAAGCCAGGAGCCGGGAGCTTCTTCTGGGTCTCCCACGCAGACACAGGGTCCCAAGGCCCTGCATTGTCTATCCTCTACTGCTTTCCCAGGCCACAAATAGGGGCTCAATGGGAAGTGGAGCAGCTAGGACACAAACCATTGGCCATATGGGATCCTGGCACATGCAAGACAAGGACTTTAACCATTAGGCTACTGCACCAGGCCCTATATGGTCAATTTTGTAAACTTCCACGTATGCTTGAAATTAACTTAGTGATTGCTACATGACTTTCATTTAGTTTTACATATTCTTCATAGAAAAATAGAAAATGGAAATCGGTTTTAAAGTCACAGTTCTTTTTACTAGTGCACACCATCATTCATTGAAATAAATCATTCATTATGTGTAATTCCAGACTTTTAGCAAAATTTGAACCTATAACTTTCTTACCAGATTGAGAAATAAAAATTACCTCTAAAAGAATTTGCTTATCCTTTAGTTAAGTATTAGCACACTTCATCCTGGCTATGCCAAATCTCCACTTAGAAAAAAAAGGGGGCATTAAGGGCCAACATTAATGCTCAGTGGGCAGTCAAGTTTGCAATGTTGGTATCCCATATGGGTGCGTTTGTGTCCAGCTTGCTCCACTTCTGATCCAGCTTCCTGCTAATGGCCGGGAAAAAGCAGACAATGGTCGAAGAGTCTGGGCCCCTGCCACCCACAAGGGAGACCCGGATGAGGCTCCCCGCTTCAGCAGCTTTTGGTCCTGGCTACTGTGAGCATCTGGAGAGGGAACCAATTGAGGGCTGACTTTTCTTTGCCTTTTAAAAAAAATACATTTTCAAAACACCTGTCTGAAACCAATACAATCAAACTATACTCATGGTTTATAAATATTTTCACTGCTAAGGAATCATTCTGTTGACTTTACTGAAACATAGATGTAATTTTTTCTCATTACAATATAGCCGGTTTCCAGATGGGTGGGTTTTGTATCCAAGGATAAACCAGCAACGGATTTAAAGTTAAGTAAGGGGATGAATGTTTGGCATTAGAGTTAGATCATCCCATGGGACGCCCACATCCCATTCGAGAATCCTGGTTTGAATTCTAGCTACTCTCTTCCCAATTCCAACTCGTGCTACCCACACACTGTGGAGTTAGGAGATGTGGCTCAAGTACTTAGGTGCCTCCTGGCCGTGCAAGAGATCCGTCAAGTTCTGGAATCCTGCCACTGGCTTGCCCCAGCACCTGGAAGGGATTCAATGAATGGAAGATGCCTCTGCCTTCCAACTAAAATAAAATACAAATCTAAAAAGCTTAATATATTTAAGGTCCAGTATATCTGTACCGAACATGTACAGGTGTTCCCTCCTCATTTCCTAAGTAATACGGTGTAACTATTTCACAGTGTATTATGGTATCTAGAGGTCATTTCATGTGCAAGAGAAGAGTGCCTGCAGCTTATATGCCTGGAATCCATGGATGATTATATAATGAGTGAGAACTGTTATCAACCTGCAGTATCTCAAAACTAGTGTCTTCTCACAAAATATTATTTGACTTCCTGAGTGTTTAAAAAATGCAGTATTTCGGTTTGGGATTGGGATTCAGCACTGAATACATTCCACGCATGTGTACAGTTATCTAAGGGAGGTCTCCAGACTTCCCATCTAACAGTTTCTAAGTTTCAATTTCAGGGACAACCAGTGATTTTTTTTTCTATTTGTACTCATTTATATTTATGTACAAACTGGAAAAAAAATTTTGGGGGGGTGTTGTGAACTTCAAATCAAAACCATTTCAAGTAACTATTCATTTACCAAATATATTAACATTTCAAAGTGATTCATTCACATTTAAGTCACAATTTTTATTTTTTTTTAAGTTGATTTAAAATTTAAAGTTTTTATATAGCTTGAACCAAGTTTTCTTGAAGAACAGATGTTTTTTCCGCACTGTCGCTGCTCCTATGTTTCCCGTCCACAGAACATCAGTCAACAGTACCTGTATGCACCAAACATGCAAGCCAGGAAGGGCACTCGTTTCTCCTGCTCACCTTCCACATGCAAATTACAATAAACAGGTGCATCATTTCAATCCTCCAAACGGAGATTCCCATTTCTGTGCTCCTCTAGTTCACCTTCCACCACTGTCCATTAGCACAGCACTACCACAGCTTGGGTTCCGCTTTCCTCTAGCCTACCACACACATTCCTGTCAGTGTCTTCTTCCAAAACCCTAACAGTTCACGCCATTCACCTACCTAATCCTCAAAGGTTGCCTGCTGCTGCTTAAAACAAGTGACAAAACACTTTGGGATTCTTAATAAGCTAACCTCAACCCAACAGTTCCAGTCTGCCTGGCCTTTTATTGAGTTATCACACACTCCAAACTCAACTCAAAATAGCAGTCTTCCCATTCAGTGACCATCTGACTCAAGTCCCCCAGGGAGAACCTCTCCCCTGCCCCCTCTTGCTCACATGCTCCATGCAGCCCCTTTGTGAGAGCTTCCTAGAGCTAACAGAACAAAGTGACTAAATTCTCCGGTTGACTCCAATTCCTATTTCAGAAGAGTCTGTCTTTTTAGCACATACAACATCCAGTTTGGTATAGACTCCTTTCTCACTCAAACACATTTTTTAAAGGTCTACAAAAGCAATTGTATAACCATTTTACTTTGAACTTTATTAGTAAAAATATTGTATGGTATTCAGTGCTTAATAGAAGTTCCACACATCATTATTTCTGTGATGTACTGTGACTGAATAGTACTTACAGTATTAAGATAATGTGTAATCGAAAAACATGTGGTTTGTACTTCAAATTCAATTTCTTCAAAATTTAAGTTCAATGTCTTTTGGCATTAATACTATATCCTCTCCAATTTAGCTTTATAAATTGCTCACTACATTGGGGGAAGAGAAACAAACAAACAAACAAAAAAAACACAACAAAAATTGCACCAAAATATGCTTGCTCCTGAATGATAAAATTGAGTATTTTAAAATTAAGAACTTTTAAACCTTCACATGATTTTTATAATGACCACTGTCATTCCCCTGGTCTGGACATAACAGCAAAATTTTAGCAGCTGAGTGAGATGCAAACACCATCTTCTGAAAGTTGGGGGAGGAATGAAACTCAGTAGGGAACACGAAGCCCAAGTCAGCCGAGAAGGACATGCCAGGAAACAGAGGGCACATGTGTATGAACAAGTAGGTCTCCTCACTCTCCAGGGAGGGCATGTGTCCCCTACTGCCTTCCACTGACCACACTCAGGACAACACTGAATAGAAAATCATGAAATAAACCGAAATTCTGATTAGGATGACACACAGTCTCCACAAACTCTATAGGGAGAAGTAGCCTTACAATGGAGAAGTCTGATGGTTGTAGAGATATTTTGCAAAATTATTTCCCTATAATTTTATAAGTGTGAAAGACTGCAAAAGGAAAAAATGAAAAATTGTTCCAGAGTGAAAGATCAAGATGCTACAACCAAAAGCAACACATCATTTTTTTTTAAAGATTTATTTTTATTATTTTTTCATTGGAAAGGCGGATATACAGAGAGGAGAGACAGAGAGGAAGATCTTCCATCTGATGACTCACTCCCCAAGTGAGCGCAACGGTCGATGCTATGCCGATCAGAAGCCAGGAGCCTCTTCCAGGTCTCCCGCGCGGGTGCAGGGTCCCAAAGCTTTGGGCTGTCCTCGACTGCTTTCCTGGGCCACAGGCAGGGAGCGGGATGGGAAGCAGGGCTGCCGGGATTAGAACCGGCACCCATATGGGATCCAGGGCATGTGAGGCGAGGACCTTAACCACTTGTACCACCGCGCTGGGCCCCAGCAACACATCATTTTGAACTGGATTCTCGCGTTAATGAGGCAAGTTGTCAAACTTGGATGGGAGCCGAGATTAGGTGGCAGTGATTATTACCCTTATCTTTGGATGATTATTCTGCAGTAATATCAAAGAATTTTCTTTCTGGCAACACAAAAGTCCTGGAGGATTATGCAGCACTATGGCAGCAACTTACTCTTGAGGATGAAAATGTTTAGTTACAGACTACTTCTAACCCTCCTCTAAGTATGACATTGTTTAAATTTTCATTAAAAACCAGAATGCAGCAACCAAAACTGTTTGATTTTACTCTTAGAGTTGATAAAGGAATTCAAAAGTAATAACTAATTCTAAATTTCAGAGGCCTGGTGTGGTAGCCTGAAGGCTAAAGTCCTTGCCTTGGATGCACCAGGATCCCATATGGGTGTCAGTTCATGTCCAGCTGCTCCACTTCCCATCCAGCACCCTGCCTGTGGTCTGGGAAAGCAGGTGAGGATGGCCCAAAGCCTTGGGATGCTCCAAGAATGTGGGGGACCTGGACGAGACTCCTGGCTTCGGATCAGCTCAGCTCTGGCCACTGCAGCTACCTGGGGAATGAAACAGCAAATGCAAGATCTTTCTCTCCGTCTCTCTTCTATTTATCTGCTTTTCCAATGAAATAAGTCTTATTTTAAAAATGTGATTTTAATTACATTGAACTTTTTCAAATTCTTGTGTCTGCTGCTCACAGTCATGCTCTTCAAAACTACTTTGGTTTTGTGTCATTAACTGCATCCAGAAACTCTTCTCAATCATGGATCTTATCTAAATACACAAATACACACATGTCCTATTAGGATAATGATATGTTCATGGGTCATATTCAATAGAGAGAAGTTACAAACAAAAAAGACTATCACTCTTCAAAAACTCCCTCTTGTGGCAAAAATCGGAAATACATTCTATTATTGAATTCTAATAGAAAAGCACTTAGCATATTGTACCTTACATACTATTTTTGCAATATACTGTAAGTTCCTCTAGACATAGTAGCATACAATATTTGCAAATAATTTACTTAGAGGCAGTTTCGCAGTTTTTGTTGGCATTGTCCAAATTCTATTCAAGTAATACCTTGTACAGCAAAAAGGTGCAAATTTGGTAAGATAGCTATAAAAGTCATGGCCAGAGTTCAAGAGAATCAGTTACAAAGGACAGGCAATGAAGGGTGGCCTCAAAGGCACCTACCTATTTAAGTATAGAGGGTATCAGCAAGGCTTCCCAATTCAAAACCTGAAAATGCAACAGTGGAGACAAATTCCTTCAATTTGGTTTGATCCACTCTTAGTTTATTAGCATAAAGATATGCTGGAAGGAATAAAATACATTTGCCTTTTTAAGATTGCAAATGATGAAGCTATAAAGGGGGTTATTTAGCTTTCGTTAAACTTTGGTATTCCAGATTTCTACCCTGATCCTTAACCTTGTGTATTTGCTTCTATTCAGTTAACACACTCTGATAATTTCATGTCTTACTGACCTTTCAATGCTTATAAAGTGATTTAAGTGATATGTGAAAGTAAACTTAATTCCAGTTTCGCACTGTGAAATTTTAAGCGGTTCAGTTGGATATTGTCCCTTGAACATGGTATTAGCGTCTTGGCTAAAATTAATTATTGACAATTTTAATACATGTTGGACAGTACATATTAATACAGAAAAATACATGTTATCAGCAGCATAATGTTGACCATGTTCTAATCCATTCCACCTGCTCAAATATTAGTGCAAATAATTATATATTTGTAACGCATCACTGCTGCCTTCCCAGTAAACGACTTTCCTCAGGTTGTTTGCAGTTGGAGTGTGATGTGATATATTCCTATTTAAATTGACTTTCTACGGTGAGGCAGACTGCGACCTCCCAAATCACTTAGCAAACGGGCATGTTTTATCACTTGTCTTCATTCCTCGCCTCCAAAGCAGACACTTGAAAACAACTTCTTAAGTTTAGTGGTGCCTACCAAGTAACAGTAATAAAAGACAGGGCCTATAAAAGTATGAATTTTGCCAAACCTATGGTTATCACCTACCTGTTCCAAGTAACCACTAAAATTCTTATTCGCTAATGTTTCTGGTTTCTTTCCCATAGACACTTGAAGGGTTGCTTCCCCTCTGAGCTTGGAAGAAAAATGACTGATCAGCAGTAGAAATACAAGGTAACAGACTTGATCTGCAATTTTGACTACAAGACAACAGCCATTACCAATACTAAATGTTTTTTTGCCCTTCATTTTCACACAGTCACTTAAAAAGATTAATCCACAAAACAGTTAACATAACCGGTAAGCTTGTAACATTTGAACTCATACTTCTGAACTTCATATTTTTCAGGGTGTAATAGTCATTTATTTCTATATTATAAAATATGGAACTAAGCACTTTGGCTATATGGAGAGAAGCAGCCAGAAACAGAAACAGTGATAGAATTTCACGCTCTCCTACTGAGAACTCTGTGATGAAAAGATCTCCATTAGATAGAAACCACATTCAAAACCATATAAAAGATAACTGAACACATGAAAAAACAGGGGGATAAATTAGAGCGTCACCCTGGTATACCAGGTACATAATGTAAACACTGCACTGGGAACCAAATACTGGGTGAGAAGTTAGATTAAGCAGAAATAATGCACCTGTCAAACGGAAAGACCTACTTAAGTATTAGGCAATATCTAGCACATAGATTTACGCTTCAAACTGAGCACTTTATTAACTGTAGACCATGAAAGGTCTACTTACCTTTTCTTTTGCAACTTATATTTTACATTCATAAAATGGAAATAATAGTATCCAAACCCTAGAGTTGCCTTAGAACCAAATAATACATGCAAATAATTTAGTGTAGTGTGAGGGACTTTAAGTCAATAAACGGAGCTATAACTAATCATCCTGACTGTCATCTTAAAACTGATGACGGTTTTCACTTCAGATAGAATGATTTAGTCTAGCAACATGGACTGGTCTCTTCCCAAGTTCTAACAAACCTCAAGCAAAGAGCTGCAGTACACAAAATGCATATATAGTTAAAATAACTGGAACAAAGTGTAAAATGTTCAGTATATCAAATTCTCCACTAGCAATCAGGAGAACTCAGTGTACTTCTGAGATCTCAATGGGCAATGCTTGGGTAATATGCAGACTATTTCTGCATTGAAATAGTAATTGCCCCAATGTGAGCTTGTACAGTGACCAACAAATTATACACCGAGTGAGCCTTGTGGTCTCTAGCACGAAATACAAACATGCTTTAGTTACCCTCATATAAATATGATCACCTTAAGGGGTTCCATTTCAGTAGCCAAAGCCTCTGCATCTGGAATCTTAGGGGAAGCAGTGAACTTCCCATGGGAGCCAATGTACTGGCTGAGAACTTGTGATTGCATTGAGTCAGAAGGATAGGATTCAGAAGGATGACATCAAATACAACATGAACAAAGCTTCCTTTAACACATTTAACTTAATCAACTTACTTTGAGGCTCTTTCTAAAATCAGGAAGAGCCTAAAGACGTGCAACTTATCTTCAAAATGTAGCCAATAACTATTTTAGACCGGCCAAGAGGCCATCTCAAGAACCTGCTGTTCTTGAACAACTCAGCATCTTCACCTACTCCGCTTCACTGTTAATCTCAACCCCGTAATTCACAGAGGCCACACTTCATCTGAAGTGTACCAGACATTTTCAGCATACATTACCTCTATATGCAGAAGACTGCAAAATTGGCCTTATTTCTATTTGGTTAAAGTTACTAGCTCCCATTATCTCTAATCTAAAGTTACTATGTATGTGTAAAATATATATTCACCATCACTTTTGAACTATAAATGTTGGGGAAATTTTTGTAATAGCTATAAATATGAAAGCACTTTATAAATGAGAACAGCAAGAATGCATATGATTCATTCAATACATTCTTTTTTTTTTTTTCTTACAGAAAGACCATCTGTTCAGGTTAAATTTCTAATCTTGGTTCTACAGTAGGGATCAGGATTTTTTTTGCTAAAAAGGAAAAAGAGAAAGAAGAAATATCTTAAAATCATTCCTAAAACTCAGTATGGATATTTTAAAATGTAAGACTGGAGTGAAATGAAAAAAGCAATTGGAGGGAATTTGTTTATTGAGCATTAATGTTAACACTTCTAAATTAAATATTCACTTATGAGCTTTGTCATTATCCTGTCAAAGGATATAATGGAAAATATTGCACAGAACTCAAGCATGGAAATAATAATTAACAAAGTATCTAGCAACAAGTATATGCTTTACATTAAAAAATTAATCCAAATAAAATAATTTGAAACATATCTCTGATTTGGTAGTCTTAAAATGTTCTCTCATATTTTGTGAGGTCTTTGTATTTATTTATTTTACAAATTGTCACTGTACAAAGAGTTCAAATGGCCCATAAAACTACTGCCTTAAAATTGTTGGCTTTAGGAACAGAGGTATAATTTGAATTCACATTCATAGCTCTTTCTAAAATGGCAACCATACACAGAAATAACTCTAATATTCAAAACATGTTCTGACTCCTCCTTGGCTAGGGATTACAAATCTTTTCAACTTTCTAATGGCGCCACAATGTCCTAAAATGGTTTGATAAAAGTTGGCATATTTCATTTCCTTTGCTGACTATGATAACACTGGGCTTAATAGAAAACAAAGAAAATACAATCAATGGTAACTTAAACAACAGTTAGTCCTGGATATGGAAGGTTTGGTAAAGTTGGTGATCTCTCAGAAACAAGTTCTCAAAATAAAATAAAATAAGTGCATTTCCCCAAATTAGGTCCAAAAAGCTCACATTAAAGAAAAATGCCAAAAATAAATTACTAATTTATAAATTCCCAGGAGACTATAAACAAAAAGGAAGCTGAAACACTATATACAATTTAAAATGTATTTTTGCAGGAAAATGAATAGTGGCCTTTCGCAATTTTTACTTAATGTTTGAACTTTTATCAGTGATTTACTAATATCGCCGTGGGAAGCCAACTCGATGAACTATACACAACTGGGACCAATTTCAGAAAAGCCTTGTAAAAGGACAATGACAGACCTATAAAATACGAAAAATTTGTCTCCAACCTTACCTTAGATCATAAACGTTACCTACCAATTGTCAATTCTTAACACAGAGGACTACCGCATGTTTAAACGTCCCATCTTGCACATCTTCACAGAACTGCACTGCTGAGAAACTCGTCTACACTTCTCAAATGCACCGTTCAGGCGCTACCTCACATTTCTTGTACTGCCATTATATTCAAATAATGAATAAATATTGTCTTTTAGCTAGGGGTCTTGTTGAAAATTTAAAATAAGGTAGTTTCTTTAACTGGATTAAAATTTACTTACCAAATAAAAAACAATAAATTTTTTTTAACTGAGAAAACAGATGGATGTGCATGCCTATTGTCCACATATTTAGTTTGTAACATTTTTCTTGGACCATATTATTTATTATTGCACCTCAGAAAAAAATTCAATTATAGGAATATGATTTAATTGTTCACCTTTTGACAGAGGCAAAAATTTCTTTCAAGAATCCTAGAACAATCTGATAGACAGTTACCAGTGCTGTTCATTAAAAAGTGATGAATAATAAATGCCATTTTGCTGTATTTTAATTGTTACCAATGAAAAAATGGGATGACAAAATTTCCAGACAGAACATATCAAAAACAAGAACTGAAACACTGGTAATATTTCATTTGTCTTCTGACACTATTTCCCAGGACAAAAACAGTGACATGTGGTTTTACAGAATTTGAAATTTATAAGTCAAAAATGGTTTTAAAAATTCAACTTAGGGAGCTACAAAGCAAAATATATATATTATATATATATACATATATATATAATAGTATCCAAATTTCAAGTGAAGTTCCAACAGTAAGTATGGCTGCTGTTCTCTCCCAGTCATTTCTCATAAAATGTTGGCTGCATCATGGCAATCTTCCGTACTCTCCCTCCAGCGAGGCTGCCGCGTCAACAAACTCCCTCGGTTACCTCAACCTCAGCTGAAGTGTCGAGCAAGGCGGGCAGATCTATAGTCAGCACGAAGCTGTACGAAGGAGTGAAGGATGTTCTTGTCCAGATTAGCAAGTTGTTCTCCTGAGCAGACCTGCTTTAAATTATCGGGGGCCACTACCAGAAGATTGCAAAGTGCATGCAGAGTATCAAAAAGATGTAATACCATCGGAATCTGAATAGAGAAGAGGAAAAAATAACAATGGAATAATGTAATTTTCAGTGTGATAATTCATTTGTAAATCCCACTCATTTATAAACCATCAGGATTTACCAAAGAAGAGACAGTTAGCTATCTTAGCATTTTTCATATTAAAACTCAAAAGATTTCAGTAGTTATAGAAAATATTCTCTTGAAAGTCTTCATTGTCAGTTTTCCTCAATAGTAACATATATTTATATTTTGGTAGACCAGAAGCAGTCACTACTCACATATTATTTTTCTTAAATAATTCAAATTCTAAAAAGATTATTGCAGAGAGACGTAGACAAAGAACGTTTTCTCATGTGTGACACATCCAGCAGTTGCCACAGATGTCAGAAAGGTCATGACAAAGCATGCACTTGCCTAAAATCAAGGCCACAGCAGAAACATGCAAATACTGCAAATAAAACTAAAACATTTATTCACGCAAGGGCTGTTAGATTACTATTACTATAATATTTCTTAAAAGTTTTTTTTTTACTAATCATAAATCAACAGAAACCATTAATGGTCTCTCTGTTCCTGAGCCTATTTGTACAGGTTTGATATTTGGGTATACATACCTTGAAGTCTTTGGCACACTTCCTATATTCAGCTACATCACAAATTGCTAACATGCCACCCATGCAGCTGTAGGAGTACTGCTGCAGATGTTCATAAATAAGTCGATGAAAACGTACTCCAAGTTCCATCAAAACTGTGTCCACATTCTTCCCATCCATGGAATTTTTAATCTTTTCCACTTGTTTTCTTACATAAACACAGACTTTTACACAGGCCTGTAAAAGTTTTTCTACACTTATTATATAGAAACGTACATCAGCTTAGCTAAGGAGAAAATATTTATTTCTCAATGTCTGAATATAAGAGAAAACTTAGCTGATGGTAAGTATAACAATGAAAGTGCTAACAAAATATTATATTTTTACTAGCTAATAGCATTGTTATACTCACATTAGTATACTGAATCAACACATTGTTTTCATCTTCTGGCTTAAAGTCTGTTTTCTTCTGTTCCGCAGCCAGAATGTGCTTCATCTGTCCAATCATGCAATTTAACGTCCTAGAGAAGTGAGAGCGCAATGGATGTGTTCTGGTTATTTGATACTCGCTTCCTATTTATATCGTTTATACTGTATTAGACTTACTTAATTTCAAATCACCATAGAACATTTTCCCATAAATTTCAGATATTTTCTAGAAAAAGTAATTTAAGGTGCATACATCAAAAAACTTTTGGTTTTATCACCTTCCTTTTCAAAATAAATGGCAAAGATTTCTTGATCAACACTTTAAGGAAATTTTAATTAAAGACCTTAGAAGTCTGTGACTAATTTATTTAATCAGCAACAAGGATTCTCAAAGGCAAAACTATATAGAGAATGCTGAGGAAATGGGGAAGGTCAAGAGCTTAGGAATGGGCAAGGCTTAGGAGAGCAGGTGGGAGCATGAGCCACGCAGTCCAAGGACAGTTGGGACAGACAGGTGATACTCAAGATGCACTTGAGATCTGTACCGGCAACAATACTGCATGAGTTATGTGTAAGCATTAATTCACATATGGGAATTAAAGAAACACTGCACTGAACCGAGTTTAGCATCTGTAAGACAGTTGTGTGGAAGGAAATGGTTTTGGAGTCATGACAAGGGAGTAATTCAAGAAATGGACCCAAGTGATCCAAACACAATTATACATGAAGTAAAGCTAGATAAGGGATTGGCGTAAATGAAGAGATTAAAGGGTAAGGGCTCTGACTAGGTCAGTAAACAGGCAAATGGCGAATTAAAAGATTTCAAAAACAAGAGACGATAAGCACAGAGCAGGCTATTCAGGTTCAAATAAAAAAAGATTTATTTATTCACTTGTTGGAAAGGCACACATTTCTGTACCTGTAAAATCTCATATGGTCCTACATAAAAACAAAAGGAGATTACACACCAACGAGCTGATTACCAAGAAGAAACGGGTAAATCCCTAGAACTGTAAAACCTTCCAACACTATACAAGAAATACAAAATCGAATCAGACAATGGAGTAATGAGACTGAATTGGTAACCCAACCTTCCCAGGAGAAAACAGCTCAGGACCTGAAGGCTTTACTGGTGAATTTTACAAACCATTTAAAGAATAAATTAACAGCAATTTCTCCTTAAACTCTTCTGAAATGAATGGGAAAACTTTCAAACCCTTTTTATGAAGTCAGCATTTATGTAACAACAAAGCTGGAATAGTACAAGTAGAAAAAAACAAAAACAAAAACTACAGACCAATTAACCCTGGTGCACACAGATATAAATACCATCAAACATATGAGCAGGGAGGCACTGCGACACAGGATTATGCTGTTTGGGATCCTGTATCCCCTACTGGAGTATCTGTCTGGAATCAAACATTGGGATTCAGATCCACCTTCCATTGGTATTCCTGCTACTCCAGGTGAGAGCCCTGGGTGCAGTACTTGGCTCTTGGCTTCACCATGGCCTACAACTGGCTGTTACAGGCATTTGTGGGGAGTAAACTATCAGATGGAAGATTTTTTTTTCCTGGCATTCTGCCTTTCAAAAGAGTAAATAAATCCTTAAAAAATTACTAGCAAATTTAATTCAATTCAGTACATTAAAAGTATCATATGCCAAGAGTCAACAAATGACATCAACGTGGAGTCAACAAATAATACATCACAGAAGCAGACAGAAAGATAAAAAAGAAAAGTACTTGGCAAAACTGAACTTCCTTTCCTAATTAAAAAAACCAGATTAAGTAATGAAAACACAAAGCTCCTCGTTTAGAGCTATCTGTGGTAATCTCACAGCTGGCGTATTCAACAGTGAAGTGCTCACGCATCACTACCATCCAACATGCAAATCCTTGTCAAAGCAACTAGACAAAGAAAATAAACAAAAGAAGCTGTCAGTATTTGTAGATGGTGTGATCCTATGCATAGAAAACCAAGAAGTTGCATCAATAGCCAGTAAAGTTACAGGACAGAAAAATTAATTTTGTTTGTGAACACTAACAACAAACCATACGAAAGAGAAATTAAGAGAACAACGGTGGGGCAGGCACTTGGGGTAGCAGTTAGGCTGCCAGTGGTCATTCACAATCTTGTGTTGGAATGCCTAGGTTCAAATGCTGGCTCCATTCCCAAATCCAGTTTCCTGATGATATATGTACGCACTTAGAGACAGAAAACACTTGGGTCCTTGCCACGCAGATGGAACCCCTGCACTAACTGCCTGTCTCTGGCTTGATCCAGTCCCCGCTTTTGCAGCCATCTGTGGAGTGAACAAGTGAATAGCGCTCTTTGTCTGTTTCTCAAATAAATAAACATTAAATAAAATTAAGTAATTCCACTTGAAATACCATCTAAAGAATAAAATACTCAGAAATTACCAAGGCAGTAAGAGGCTTATCTACTAAAATCTACAAAACACTGTCAAGAAAATTCTAAAGACATATATAAAGTGGAAATACACTGTGTTGCAAGGTTAAAAATTAACATTGTTAAAATTTCCATACCACATGAAGTGATTAAACACACTCCTTATGAGAATTCCAACAGCAATTTTTTTTCCAAATAGAAAAAAACAAGCCTAAAATCCACACAGAGCCACCAAAGATCCTGAGGAGGCAAGCAGGAATAACAGTGGCAGAAAAATAGCTTGAGCAGTGTAACAGCAAAGGTAGAAACATCAAATTCTGGTTTAAAAAGATAACAAAGGCTTAATATACAAAACAGTAAGCCCCAGCATAAGAAAGCATTCAAAACACTGGGAACAAAATAAAAAACACAGAAATGGGCAGATGCATTTACAGTCAACTGATCTTCAAAAGCTCAAGCACACACAATGGGAAAAGCCAGCCTTCCCACACACGTCTTGAGATCTGCAGATGCACATGCAAAACAGACACTGGATCCCTCATCTCACACGTAACGTGAAAAACTACACAGCAAAAAACCTTCTTGACACTCATGTTGGCAATGGTTTTTTGGATATAATCCCCAAAACACAGGCAACATAGGCATAATGTAAAAGACTGCATTAAACCTAAGAGTTTCTGCATTACGAAGGAAAAAAAAAACAGTGAAGAGAAAAACCAATGGAACGGAAGAAAATATTTGCTAACCACATATGGCATTAAGAATTACTATCCAAAAGACATGAATAATGTAATAGCAAAAGAACAAATAACCCTGCTTTTAAAGACAGTACAAAGCCACTGAACAGACATTTCTCCAAAGATACACAATTGACCAACAGGTTCGTGAACAGATCCTCAATATCACTAGTCAACAAAGAAAAGCAAATCAAACACAAACAGAAACCACTGCACCTGTGAGGAAGACGATGACCAAGGACAAGGGACAAGGCCAGTGAGGCTGCACAGCAAACGGAGTGCTTGCACGCCACTGGCAAGAACTCAGCTCGGAAAGCCATGATGGAACACAGTGGAGAGGTCACCATAAAACTGAAAGGTATGTATTTAAGAAAGTGAAGAAAGCATCTCAGAGACACGCACATCTCCAGGTTTACTGCATTAGACAACAACCTAAAAACAGAAAGGTCCAGCCAAGGAAAAAATGGTGCCTTTACACAACAGAGTACTATGGAATCTGGAAGAAAAAAAAAAAAAAGGAACTTTTGTCAAGTAAATTACCACAGACGAAACTGTAAGAATTTTATACTAAGTGGAACAAACCAGACACAGACAACATGGTCTCACTCAGAGGTGGAATCTACAAGACCAGACCTCAGAAGTGCAGAGTAGAATGGTGGTTCCTGAGGCCTTGGGAAAAAAAGAGATGTCGACAAAAAGACAGTTTAAACATTCAGAGATCTAAAATATGGTGATACACTTAATAACACAATATTATATACTTGAAATTTACTGAAAGCAGATCTTTCAGTACTCTCACTGTAAGGAAAAAAGATGGTAATTATGTAAGGTAGTAAAAATGTAAATAAATTTATTGTGATTATTTCAAATCTATATCATAATGCTATATACCTTACATATATATACTTTTACTGTCCTTTACATCTCAATAACATTGAATTTTAAAAGGTATGACTATTTTTAGGATTGTTTTAACCTTATTCTTCAACTAGTTTGATTAATTATTACTATATTTTAAAAACTGGTGTTGGAAAGGTAGATTTTACAGAGAAGGAGAGAAAGAGAGAAAGATCTTCAGTCCGCTTGTTCCCTCCCCAGATAGTCGTTAACAATTAGAGCTGAGTATCTGAAGCTGGGAGCCAGGAGTTTCCTCAGGGTTTCCCAGGTGGATACAGGCTCCCAAGGCTTTGGGCCATCCTTCACTGTTTAAGCAGGCCACAAGCAGGGAGCTGGGCGAGAAGTGGGCAGCCAGGACACAAACCGGCATCCATACGAAACGCTGGCGGAGTATGGATGAACCTCTGTACTTTACCCATGACTAATTAATTTTATAACATCTTATTTTCCAGGTTTTATTTACTGCCTACTCATTTTTAAACTAGTAATTCTAAAGCTTAGTACCACAAAATCAGCAGGGAGGTGAGCTGCCACTAAGGTCAGCAAACAATAACAAGAAACGTTATAGAAGTTTTTTATTTACATCTAGAAATTACTTCTGGAGGATTCTTTCATTTAGAATATTTCATACATAATTGTGAAAATTCTAAATGAAAATATGATTTTTATGTGATACACTGTTTAAAATTTATTTTTTTATTGGAATGTCAGATATACAGAGAGCAGGAAACAGGAGAATTTCTTACGTCCACTGATTCATTCCCCAAGTGACTGCCAAAAGCTAGAACTAAACTCCAAAGCCAGCAGTCAGGAGTTTCTTCCGAGTCTCCCGCGCGGGTGCAGGGTCCCAAGGCTTTGGGCCGTCCTCGACTGCTTTCCCAGGCCACAGGCAGGGAGCTGGATTGGAAGTGGAGCTGTCGGGATTAGAACCTGAGCCCATCTGAGATCCAGGCGTGTTCAAGACAAGGACTTTAGCCGCTAGGCCACGCCGCCGGGCCCTCTCTGTAATTATTCCTTTCAAATAAATGAAATCTTACTTTTTTTTAAAAAAAAGAGTGGTTAATTTGAACATATTGGCTTCCACACAAAAAAAGTTAGGACTGAAAAATATCATAGTAAGAATGAAAGAAATCTGCAAATAGAAAACTAAATGTTATACAGCAAGATGGTGGAATAAAGGTAAAGTTTTTTCTTCCCTAAACTGCTTTCATGTTATTGCATCAGTATTTCTACAATTAAAAAAAAGAGAAAACAAACAAACCAGCAACTTGCCTATCAATACCAGTATCCAATTTCATCTCCATTTGTTCAATAATTTCTTTTTTCTTCTGAAGGCATTCAGATAACTTGGGAGAAGAGCTATTGCACATTTAAAAAAGAAAAAGAATCACATTAAATGACCTTATAATTTCTAAAGTTTCTTATGTGCATGCATATTACATATATTTTAACACTCACTTTAGTTTGCTCAGAAAGTCCAACAACCACATGTACAGTAAAATAATTATTTTGTATTGATTTTGGAATTTTAGAATTATCTGATTTTCTTTTACAAATATCTAGCAGGCATACCAGAAAAGTCCAGGGCATCACAACCTTTACCAGGGTAAATCACAGTAATTAATACTGGGAGGCTGAAAGTAAATCCTGTTGAATTTAGCTTTCTTAGATTAAAAATTTTTTAAAAAACTATCATATTTATATTTTGAATGTTAAAAAGTCAATACAAATAAAAAATTAAGGTAGTTCAAATAATTATGTGAACTCTTTATTAAAAAAACAAACTTTTCTGTCAAAGAAATATTCAGGAATTACAAGTGATTTTTACCTTTTACACTATTTCTGGGCTAGTTTCATATGCCAATACATCTTTCATATGAATATTTTTCCTCTTTAATACTGTCAATTTGGTTATTATGTTGACATATACTTACTTTGTTTAATTCTCATATGTTTTAAAAACCCACATAAATTGGTACCAAGATATAAACCAAACCGCCTCATCAAAACCTATTTAATCTCATAAAGTTTTTTAATGCGTTCATATTATTTCAAGTGAGCCATGCCTGTTGGATATTCCGAACGATGTCACACCTGCCACTTTCCCTGAGCTGCAGGTCTTCAGAGTATGACTATCTTCAAATACACAAAAATTAACACCCCAGCAGGAAGAGAAAATAGGATGAAGAAGGAAAAACACATTTATTCTAAATCTCTTTTGTTGCTTTAATGAACATATTACTTTTGAAATGTCTGACATAATATTCACTGGAGTACAAATGAAAATGTCTGACTAACCTTATCAGTGGCATGAGGTGATCATTAAACTGCTTGTCAAAAAGATGAAAAACAGTATTGGCCTGCTGCACAACATCCAAAAAATAGAGATTTGCACTCCTAGAATCTGAAGAAGGAATCCCTAAAGTAGCAGACATACATATACATATATATGTTAGAATCAACTTTGAAGAAATCTATCTTACCAACAAAAAATATGGTCATGAATATACAACATGAATCAAAATAATTGCTGTTACAAAATCAACAATATTTTGCGAACAAAGGAAAGTTATTTGTAATATTTTGATAAAATCACCCAAAGTTATCTTTATGCATATTTTAATCCCAGTTACTGAGCTTTCATCTTGGCTTAAACTGAGTACTAAATAAACTAATACATAAATTACAATTATGAAAAACTATTCTATCTTGCAAAGGAATTTCTTAATAAATTGCTACAAATTAAGAATACTGTCATTAAAATAAAAATACTAGGTTTCAATATTATGTAATAGAAAATCTTTCACATGATACTGAATCAAATTCACATTACTTTTGTATTTATTCTTTTTAAAGTTAAAGCATAATGACACTAATTATCCCAACAGAAACTACCACATTAAGGCACTGTGGATGGCAAATATTTCATAAAATACATGATGTTAAGGTTCTACTATAATTAAGTTTTTTAAAAAAATATTTATTTATATTGGAAAGTTAGATTTTACAAAGGAGAGACAGAGAGGAACATCTTCCATCGGCTGATTCATTCCCCAAGTGGCCACAATGGCCAGTGCCAATCCGATCTGGAGCCAGGAGCTTCTTCTGGGTCTCCTATGCAGGTGCAGGGTCCCAAGGCTTTGGGCTGTGCTTGACTGCTTTCCCATACCACAAGCAGGGAGCTGGGTGGGAAGCGGAGCCTTTGGGACCTGAACTGGTGCCCAGAGGGGACCCCGATGTGTGCAAGGCATGGACTTAAGCCACTACACTATTGCACTGGGTGCATAATTCAGTTTTTAAAAAGCTTATGTCCGTCATGGAAGCAATAATGTGAAAAAAATAGGTAATAATAAATAATAGTTAAGCCAAGATGGCACATAATTTATGGCTAAATCTTGCTCACTGTTAGAAATTTAATGGAATGTCATTGTGTAATAGTCATTATTAAGATTTTTGCGGCATCTACTTTGGACTTTCTAGATACTGTAGTTCAACAGTGAATAAAACAGTTAAGATTTCTACTTAAAAGGATCTTTTCACCTTTTCGCTTCAGTCAGTTCTCTGGCTATCATGTCTCCTCGGAGAGGCCTTTTCTCACCAACCCTTCAAAAAAAAAGCCAATGTCTTTCCTTGAAATTTCCTCCTACCTATCCCTAAGCCAATTTTTATGTCTCTACTGTGTACTTCCTAATCATTTGACTATATTTTTCATTAAAAATGTGAACTCCAGGTGCCAGCACAGTGTGGGGCAGGCTAATCCCCTGCCTGTGGCGTGGGTTTCTCACATGGGTGCTGGTTCACGTCTCAGTGGTTCCACTCTGATCCAGCTCCCTGCTAATGGCCTGGGACAGGAATGGAGCTTGGCCCCGCCCTTGGGCCCCTGTATCCACATGGGAGACTCAGTGGAGCCTCATATCAGTTCAGCTCTGGCTCTTGTACATATCTGAGGAGTGAGCCAATAGATGTTAGACCTCTTTCTTTCTCTCCTCTCTGTAAAATCTGCCTTTCAAAAATAAACAAACAAATAAATAAATCTTAAAAAAAAACCCAAAAAGATTATAATCTTCATAGGTACAGGAGTACGAATTCTGTACAATAGAAGCAGCCATTAATAACTAAAAATTTCAGAGATAAGTGCTATAAAAAATGTAAAAAGTTTAACTCAATGAGACAATGAGTAATCAGAATAGGAGGGGAGTATTAATTTAGCTAGGGTGATCAGCAAAAGCCTCTCTGAAAAGATATTTTAACTGAGATCAGAAAGCAGAAAAGCCAGCCATGAGAAAAACTGAGTGTGAGACACCAAGGCAGAAGCTAGGGCAAAGGCAAAATCGGCAGGGGGCAGTGGCAAAGAAGGCGACAGGACAGGAGGCGAGCCTGTCAGAAGGCGGGTCAGAAGCGTGATGGGATGCCACTACAGGAAATGATAACCACACTGGCTGTTACATAAGCCAGCAGCCTGGAGAGGCACTAATGGCTACGGGGATACCAGTCACAAGAACAATGATAATGTGTCCAAACAGGTGGAATCAGCAGATTGCGATAAAACGTAGAATTACACCTCAAAGTATGTGAATAGTGTATGCTGGTCGATTGGCCAGCCAAGTTGATTAAAATAAAGAATTAAGACAACTCCTGGGTTTGGGATCTTCTAATGACACGGAGCAAACAGAACAGGAACAGGACTAAGAGAAAGGTAAAATCATCTTGGGATTATTATCATGAGGTGTTCATCTAACACAAAGGTCAGGCAGCAACTGAAGTCAAGTGACCAGAACACAGGAAAAGATCACTAACACACTACTAATGCTGAACGAGCTATAGTACAGAAACAAAGTTTAAAATGATTTTTCTCTCCACACCTTGTATTTTTCTTTCTAAGCCTTGTATTACTTAATTTCTTAACTAGAATTACTCTCCGTTTCTGCTCTTTGACATTTTAAAGCTTAGCTTTGCAATATATCCTGGCATACATTATAGTGACTTACAGTAGATATCAATAATACAAGAGAATACCTGACAAATCCTCATATTACAAAAGCTCAAAATCCACTGCAGTAAACTGGATTTGGTAAATACAGGTAAACATTATATATCCAGGCAGGATCAAAGTTATTTAACACAAAGTATAACTCAAACATACTGACCAGCAAGTCCTGTTTCCAAAGCATAATCAATATGCTCAATGCATAAAAAGTCCACAAGAATGGTAAAAATTCTAAAGGCATTCCTTGGTAAATCAGAAGGATCAGAGAGCTTTAAAAAAACAAACAAAAAATAACATAATTCTTCAAGTAAACTTTTTAAAACAGTCAAATTTTTTTCAATGAATTTTGAATTTTGTATAAGACGCATTATTTTAGGTACCACAACAACGCTCTGCTCTAACAACCCCTCCCCCGCAGTTAGAACACATCTGTCTACAGCTCTCAGGATTAGAGCAACATTTTTCAAACTTGGATTGTTTTCTATCAGTGGGATCCAAGCATATTTTCGTAATACATACAAGTAGCCCCAACATACACACACATATAGACATTTAACATGTGTGCTGTCTTACTGTTGGGTCACAGTCAGAGGATGAACAGCCAACAAAGTAAAAGGCAATGAAACACAAAACAGGAAAACAACAGAAGTAATGAGGCTAAAAGACAGATTCTGGGGGGTGCGGGGGGAAGCACAAGGGAGAGCCCATTTAAACAAGAACATCAGTTTCACACAGACTCTGGTAAAAACTGAAAAGTGTATGTGTGTGTGTGTGTGTGTGTGTGTGTGTGTGTGTGTAAACAATTCCCAACTCATCCTGTCAGGCCAGTACTACCCTGAAATGAAAACCAGAAAGACACTAAAGGAAAATATAGGAAAATATCCCTCATGAAAACAAATATAAATATTCTTAAGAATAATTTAGTAAATCTAGTCCAACAATTTATAAAAAGGACAATGGCGAACTGATGACCAACATGAGTTTAACAAAAGAAAGGCAAACATCTGAAAAAAAAAACCATAAAACTCACCTAAACATTTGACTAAATCTGAAGCATTTAATTAAATCTAATATCTAATCCATATTTTAAAAAATAAGCAAACAAAATTTAAAAACTGCTTCAATCTGGAAAATAATAAAACATCTATGAAAAACCTAGTTTAGCATGATGCTTAAAATGGTGAAACACTGAATGTTTTAATCCTAAGATGACGAACAATGCAAGAAGTTTACTTTTGGCCTTTCAACCAACACCACAGAAGTCTGTCCAGAACTGTAACATGAAGTCAAAATAAAAGGCATATAAATAAGAGGTAATATTAACTGCTTTTTTGGGCAGACAACATAAATAATGTTATGTGGATTCTACAATAAAGGTATAAATGAAAATGATCACAGTGGAATCTACCAAAAAAAAAAAAAAAAAAAAACCTTACATTACTGAGCTCAGGTTGTAGGGCATAGAATCTCATTACATTTTTCCATACGTAACTACCCAGTTTTGCCAGGACTGTTTATTTCTCCAATGTATGGTCTTGTCTTGTGAATTAGTATCTGGGCTCTCCCTTCTGCTCCCCTGATCCCTGTGTCAGCCTTCGTGCCAGTACCAAGCTGTTTCAGTCCCTACACTTCTCCTGTGTGCTTGAAGCCAGCCACTGTGACGCCTCCTGCTGGCGTCCTGACCCCTCTCCTCCAGGATTCAGCACTGCTGTGGCATTATGGGATTTCTGTGACTGCACATGAAGTTTAATTTTTTTGTCAGGGGTCTAAGATCAACATACTAAATAAACTAAATATACTAAGTACACTTACATATAAACATGTGCCAGACATGTGTGTGTCATATATATTCTTGACATATATTTGTATGTATATAATTATATACATAGTGAATAGATCTTTTAAAACCAACAATATTTCTGTGTAGCAACAACTAAGTTAAACCATAAATTATTTAGATTTTTAAAGACATCTACGTTTTACTGCATCAACAAAATGTCCATTTTCTCCAAACAGAACCATATTTTCATAGAAACTACTATCAACATGCTGACTTTTTTCTAAGAAACTAACACGCTACTGTCACTTACTATGAAAATAAAAAGTGATTTTTATGAAAGTGTTAGAAGACTTGCACTATCTGATTGGACCTATGATAAGGAAATTAAGACACACAGTACCAGCATAAAAACAAACAAAAGAACAGAAGAAAAGAGAAGCCAGAAACAGACCCGTAGAGAAATGGTCAAGTGATTTTCCACTGTGGCTCAAAACCATTTTGGTGAAAAAGAAGTCTTCTCAAAAAGCAATGGTGAAACAACTGCATTATCTAATTATTTTTTAAAATAGAACTTTTCTCCATATACTATCTGAATTATAAAAGTCAACTCAAAACTGATTACAGCTCCTCACGGGAGTGCTACAATCATTAAGTTCACTTACATTCTTAAGGGGTTTATAAATAGCGTTCAGTACATAGTGCGTACTATAAAATTACTCATTTCGGTTATTTCACATCATCTTTTGCTAGTATTATTAGTTACTATGATCTATGTCTGTTTGCCTGTATGTTTGTTAAGAACACTCATTTTTCATGGAATCAAACCTTCATCCTTTGCCTTTGTCATTTGTTCTTGAAATGCTGTCCTCTCCCAGATACTCCCTTTCACATCTGTTAATGTCTTACAGAAGAAAAATTTGACCTACTCAACTTTGTCTAATTTTAAAATAATTCTAGCATTTCAAACAAAAATACTAAATTTTAGATATCAAAAAGTAGCTGTTCCTTGAGCGCCAGATTTCTCATCTTGGTATAAACAAGATGAAAATTGAAATTTGTAACTATACACATAAAGTGCATACATAATTCTATACAACAAATCCACAACCATCCTTACCCGATGACATCTTTCGAAGGCTTGTTTGGTTTCTTGTAAGAGGTTAACCACCACTTCCTGGGACAGGAAAGTTTCCCCATGAGTATCAATACTTGGCCCCAGTGGTAAGTTGGTACGTTGTCTAATTCTTTCTTTCAAATCCTGAATACTAGCACACCACAAACAAAAACAAACAACATTTGACAGAGATTTTTGACTTCAAATACTCTCAAGGTCAATGCACAAGAACAAAAAAACAAGAACAGTTCTAATTACAATAACCACTTTCCGAAAGAAGCCCTGATTGCCACACAGAAGACTGTAACCTGAAAAACTAGTAGATTTATAGAGTTATGACTTCTGAAGAGGCTTTGGTTCTTATGATTCTGACTCAATCACTAAAATTCATTTGGTGTCCTAGGGCAGTGAGTCACTCCAAATAAATTAATAAAATATTTCAAATATCTGCTTAAAGATAAAAATGAAAAGTTTTAATGATTCAATATAATCACTTAAATATATTGCATATTCACTTTATTAAACAAGATTACAATTATTCAGCTATCCTCAATGACTGAGGGTAACCTGGAATATTACAGAACAGGGTATTACTAGAAAGTTAAAATCTTTTATGCTCATGGTGATGATTCAAGTCATGGCTGTCCCATTTCCACTCAGCCCACCACTAGAAAAAGTGGTGAAGATGATCCATGTTCTTGGGTCCCTGCCACCCACATAGGAGACCCAGATGAAGTTCCTGGCCATTGTCTCTTTCACCCTTGGCCATCACTGTTACTTGAGAACTGAGCCAACAGACCAAGATTCTCTTTGTGACTCTGCCTTTCAAATACATAGTTTTTTTCCTCCAATTCTTAAAACTTATCACTGTTGAAAAAGACAGGGTTTCATTCTTTTTATGGCCGAATAGTATTCTATCCTGTATGTATCATAAGTTCTGAATGTAGCCATTAGTCGATGAATATCTGGGTTGATTCCTCTCATAGCTAATTTGAGTCGAGCTGCTACAAATACAGCAGGATACCGGTAATTCTTCAACATGCTGATTTCTCCTACTTTGGGTCAATTCTCAGGTATGGGATGGCTGAGTCATACGGTAAATTTTCAGATTTCTAAGGAATCTCCACATTGTTTTCCATAATGGTTGTTCTAGGTTTCACTTCCACCAAAAGTGGATTAGGTACCTTTATCAAATCCTAACCAGAATCTGTTACTCTGATTTTGGGATGACAGCCATTCTAACAGGTGAGGTAAAGCCTTATTGTGGCGTTTACTCACATTTCCCTGTTGGCTGGAGATCCTGGCATCTCCTCATGTGTCTGTTGGCTTATCTATACTCCACCCTTTGCCCATTTTTTAACTGGACTGTTTTGTTGAGCTTCTTGAGCTGTTTCACATATCCTACATATTAATCTTTTATCAGATGTGAACCAGTGGATCAAAGATCTATTTCTCCTTCTCTATAACTCTGCCTTTCAAATGAATAAAGCCTTAAGGGGAGGGGGGTAGGGGGAAAGAAGGGGAGGGTGACTCACAGACACACAGACTGAGAAGGGTTTGCATCTGTGTGGACTCTGCATTCACAGAAGCCAGTCAGCTTCTTTCTGCCATCAACTGGGTTCCAAGTGGTTCAAGTCTGGATAACTAAGAGCTAATTCTTATAGCAAGTCACTTTATACCAGCACTGAAATAATTCATCAATTCAGGGTATGTAAACTGTGAAATATTTGCTATATTTTCCACCTTGCAAAAGTAACAAACAGCAGCAACAAAAATAAGGTGCCCTACAAAAATAACCTCGAACAATTTACTCGGCAGAAAAAAAAACTACAGAATTCTTACATTATTGCTCTTCTCTTTTTACATGTTTTAAAATTAATATACTTTTAAAATTAAATATCTGCTTATCAGTACAATCATGTTATATTAGTTCTTTTCAATATGAACTGTCAACACAATACAAACAGGCTAAGAGCTACACAATGAAAATTCCAATGACAGTTAGTATCCGTTGTATTTGCCTAAATCTACCAAAATCTCAATCTCTGCTACTTTAACTAGTCTTTAACCAAAACACTTACCCTCCTGTGCCAATGGATCTCTTCTGGTGATTTTTTGAATCATAATACCGCTGCAGGATCATAGCACTTCTGCTTTTCAGATAGCCAGTCTCCACTTCAATATAGTTCTCCAAATAGGAAATGAAAATGGATTTGATAAGCTTAGACAAGAAAGTCTGTTTATCAGTACCTAAGTTAAACTCCATCAATTTGCTGGAAAGGCTGGTGGTTCTTTCAATAAAAAAAGGGGAGAAAAAGATTAAGTGTATTTTAGTAAATAGTTCAAAGGAACATATATTCTTACAATGTGACCTTAATGTTTACTAACCACCATTTCTTAATCCAAGGGAGAGTATTTAGGATGCTGAGAGTAGCTCAATAGGGTTAATATGTAATTCAGAATGGGCGATTACAAATAACTCTGAAAACTATCATAAACACCTCTTGATGATCTATGAGAAAAAACTATAAGGCAAAGAGCCAATCCAGAAACGGCAAGAGCAGCAAATACTCTGCTGCCTCAGGTGTCCTGGAGGGACCCTGACCACAGAGTCCCCAAAACTGTACTGCAAGGTTTGCTTTCCGCTAGGCCTCCTTTGTCTTTGCCCAGCTGAACTTTCCTCTAATTATTTATTGCCTATTATTGAAGATAGGTTCACCATAAACTTGTTTTTGAGATCTACTAAAGAAAAGCAATGGAGTTGAAAAACATTGAAGAACAAAAACTCCACCTGAAGGTTCCGAGACAGCATCTATATAATATCAGTACAAAGGAGGATGTATTTTACAACGTGACTTTAACTATTTACATTAAGCCATAAATACTCAGACCTTGGGGAAGCACTCAGGCCGCAGAAAGCAGCACTACAGAGCCAAATATAAAAGCACACTGGATTATTACAGTCTTTTAATAATAGTACAGAATAAATTCTAACATCAGACTTCAAGCTGAAACTGTCATTTTTAAGACTGTCACTTCCTTTTTCATTTTCTACTTATAACTGCAGATATATGCAAATATAAACTATAAACAAAATATATTGAACAAGCCGTAATTAAATCAGAAATTAATGATCGGGTCGTAAGTTCAAACATGGTCTTAGGTTTAAAGAACATGAACATGAACATGAACATCAAGTATGGCACCCAATTTTTAGTTAATGTACAAGAACACTGCATGTTATTACTGTAGAAGGCCATGCATTTAATTATAAAAGGTATATTGTTATCTGACAAAGTATTATTTTAAAACACCCAGTATTTTCCCATTTTCTACTAAAGAGTGACAATCTGAGATGAATTATTACTTTCTACTGAATTAAGTTTACCTTGTATATAGATCGTAGAGGTTTTTTAGATACTGTTCTGCATCAGATTTCCTACATTCTTCTAACTGGTCTTTCACAAAACTCTAGGAAAAAAAAGTCAACATTCTGTTAAATAAGTATTACATTTTTTAACTTCTCAAGATTTTTTTTGTTTTGTTTTGTTTCCTTCTCAAATTCTTCCACAGCTCGAATTACTCTGATGTAAAATCTAATCAGAAAAGTGACCCAGAGGCCGGGATTGTGGCTTAGCTTGCAAGAGCAGCGTTCACACTGGAGCTGAGGTTCAAGGGCCAGCTGCTTGGCTGACAGGCCAGGGAAGGACATGCACAGCCCTGGCCCTCAGGCAGGAAATCTGCAGCCTCTGGCTTCCGGCTCTGGCCTGGCTGCTCAGAGAGAAACATCAGATGGAGATTCTTTCTCATTCTGGCTTCTTCCTCCCTCTCTCCCTTCCTCTTTTTCTCCTCCTGTTTTCCTCCTTTCCCACTCCTTTCTTGTCTCTTCTTTGCCCTCTCTGACATTCTGCCTGGGAAATAAATACATAAATCTCTGGAGGCAACTCAGAGAAAACAGACCAGTCACAAAACTTAAAAAGTAAATTTTCTATTTTACTGCTTCCCATATTTGCCTGCAAAAAAATCCCTTTGGTTTTTCTTTTGAAATTGACCTTTTAAGGTATTAAAAAAAGATTAAAAAAAAAACCCAGCATACACACGCACACACTTGAGGCTACACCAATACCATCATCTTCTTATAACAATATTTCCCAAATTGGTCTAGGCATTACTATAAAACAATATTTCCCAAATTGGTCTAGGCATTACTATAAAACAATATTTCCCAAATTGGTCTAGGCATTACTATAAAACAGGGTTGCTTGGTCACTGTAAAAAATGCTGTACATTAAAAACCCCATTTCTAGAGAATCTAAACACCACCCGGCTGCAAAATACACTGAAAGTTGTTTAACCCAGTGCTAAATAGAGTTTGGGAGGTGCAGTCTTACAGTATTAATCTAGGTTGTAAATTAAGTTCCAGGACTTTTCCTTTTCAAGCTGATGTTATCACTAGATTCTACAGACTACATTTGCAATTCTTGCTCAATGCCACATGCGTCATCTATCAGGCACACTGAGAACTAAGCAAAACTCGGGCAGGGCTGCCTTACCACAGTGTCTCAGCACCACTACAGTTCCACAAATTTCAAACAAGTACTCTGATCACAGTGCCTTTTTGCTTCTGCCTTGATAAAGAGCAACACATTTTTAAAAAAAAGATTTGTTTATTTTTATTACAAAGGCAGATATAGAGAGAGGAGGAGAGACAGAGAGGAAGATCTTCTGTCCACTGATTCACTCCCCAAGTGACCACAACGGCCAGTGCTGAGCCAATCCAAAGCCAGGAGCCAGGAACCTCCTCCAGGTCTCCCATGTGGGTGCGGAGTCCCAAGGCTTTGGGCCATCCTCGTCTGCTTTCCCAGGCTACAAGCAGGCGCTGGATGGGTAGTGGAGCTGCCAGGATTAGAACCAGTGCCCATATGGGACCCCAGCATGTTCAAGGCAAGGACTTTAGCCACTAGACCACTGTGCCGGTGCCGAGAGCAACACATTTTTAAAAACGGTCACAGTAATATTCCTTTTCTCTTAACTACATTACTCCTTCTAAGAGCACTAACAGAAAAGGTCGTCAAAAATTCACAGAATACATGGATTATGAAAAACCTGTACAGGGATTTCAAAATTCTTTTGCATCAAAATAAATTCAACTTTTAATTCCATTTTCTCACAGGTCTGCTCCTTTAAATAAACTAAATTTAAAATTTTTTTAATATGAAAAGCTGCACACTGAGTTGAGAAGTACTTAATTTGTTATTATTTAAACTTACCTGTAGTTTGATTTCAAACACGTTCTGAATGAGCTTAGCAAGTACTGTTTCTGGATTACTAAAGATATCTCCAACTTGTTTGTTCACTCGCTGACAGAGTATTGCCGCATCTTCAAATATATCATTTCTCAAATAAGCTCCCTAAATAGCAAAGGCATTTTACATAGGAAAATTTTAGATGGTTTCAAAATACAAATTAAAATGAAATAAAATCCAATGACTTGAACAACTGTATTACCTCCTGGCACTGCTTTATATAAACATCAACACAATGGGAATAACCCTACAAAGAAAAAATACACTGTTTCAATAAAAGAAGCACTATATATACATAATTTGAGTATAGATGTTATACGTATTCTTACATATTCAAAATAAAGCTATATCTGATGTTCCACTGAAAGTAATAACTATTAGAGAATCAACAACTTAGTGTGTCTTCACCCTTACTTTCTATCATGAAGTTCATCAGCTATATTGTTCCATGTTGGATTTTAGGACTGAAATTTTAAAAATTAATATAATTGAATTTTTACAACTGTCCTACAACCATCACCTTTAATTCAAGCAAACATTATAGAGCTTGAGAAAAATTTTTACACATGTATATACATACTCTTGTGCCCACCCAAATTCAAAAGATCTGTTTTCTCTTGAGAATTGAATTATTTTAATAAAATGTGCTAAATTAATGTGTCTTAAGAGAATTTTTTGTCTTTGATAAACTGCACACAATTCATTACTGTCAAGCACCATTCTCCATACTCATTCATACATCATCAAAATTACAAGTCCAGCAAACACTTCTTTATCCCGAGTCTAATAGAAAAAGAAGAATCAAATTGGGTCTTTCTTTCTTTGTAAGCACTTTCTTTGCAGAAGTAACTTCCCACACAGGGATTCTCTCACCAATTTAAACTGTAAAAAGGCTGTTTATAATATGCCATTTCTTTGTATTCCACCTGTGATTCCCTGGATTTAAGGCTAGTCAAATTCCACCAACTCCCTGATTGTTACATTCCCACCAGATATACAGTCAAGTTTTTTTACTTTGGATTTATTTTATGTTTGACTGACAAAAGGATATATTAACACCCAAGAAGGCAAATAATAGGATTTTATCAAACTACACAAAGTTGATTGCTATATTAATATTATCAATTATCAACTCCTTATTTAAATACTAAATACTTAGGATTAACGTCACTAATGAAGAAAAACATAAACTGCATTTTTAAATTATTAAAACAATAAAACTTTTCTACTGTCACATAGTTATACAACGAGCAGAGAAATATGACACCATGATAGGTGGAACGTGTAATAAATATCTTCTCAACCTTGAAGACTAATTCTCATTTACAATTTTACTATTTACCTTAAAATGAAGTAAAACTGCTGCTACTTCTCTCATTCTGGAAATTTCACCTCTTCTTTGAGCATTGGTAAATTCCTGAATCAGTTGGCATTCTAAATCGTGGTATTTACCTAAAAAAGCATTCAGTTACACTGAGGCTTATAAGACAGCCAAATAATTTGAGTATATAAATTATTTACAAATATAATGACTACTGATCTAGCTGTCTTTTGGAAGAAATACAAAAATGGCATGAGATTTTAATCCGTATAATATGCCATGTATACAAATCAATACATTTAAGACACAAACAACAACAGAAGTTGTAAAACAGTTGAGCTCCCAGAAGTTTAAATGCCATTGGACTACCGTTATTTAAACAACAGCTGATAAAAAAAATTCTTTGCAGAGCCTACTTCCTGTTTGACCCTTGCCCTAACGTGCACCCAGGAGGTAGCAGGCAGTGTCTCAACTGCTGCACTTACTTGCAATTTTGGATTTCACTTCAGAAAATCTGAAAAATAAAAGCCAATAATGAGATTCATTAGTTTTGACAAACATACTACAGCGACATAGGGTGTTAAGAGAGAAAAATAGGTGCAGAAGTACGTGGGAAAGCTCAGCTATTGCTGCATCTTTCCCACGAAACTAAAGCTGTTATAAAATTAGAAAGCTATTTTAATTTGCACATATATAAATATATATAAACATAAAGAAAGATAAATTCAGGAGACTATTAATAGAAAGTATACAATTTAAGCAATTCAGATGATATGGCTGGTTCTCATTCAGGAAACTTCACTGCAACAACAAATTCCCTTGCTGAAGCAGGAAGAACTCTACACCAGGCACTAACAACCCAACCAGTCCAAATTAAGTTACTGTGCCTACTCATATCCACCAACATGTTAAATGTACTGCAGTAGATATTGTGTTGCTCCTCCCAACTACAATTTTTAAGAATAAAGTTTCACTGTTATTATTTAAAATAAAAACATCGATAAAACAATATACATTACTGATGCTAAACTCATTAATGGAAGTAAGCGGATTAACAGCCAAATATACAAATCAGACATTTAAAACAAAGAGAAACAAAAGAGATCATAAAAATACCCAGTAACATGAGCAGCAGTTAACTACTCAATCTTTACAAAGTGAAAACTCGCTTCCTAGGGTGAGTGCTGTGGAAAAGTTAAGCTGGTGCTGGGAACACTTGGATGTGTTATCAGAGTGCTGGCTGAACACTGGCTCCTTCCCTCGTGATGCAGCTCCCTGCTCTCCCTGCTGATGTGCCTAGGAAGCAGGGTGATGCTTCAAGCACTTGAGTTCCTTTCACTCAGGGGTGAATCCCAGATGGAACTCCTGGTGCTGGCTTCAGCCTGGCCCAGCCCAGATGCTGTGGATATTGAGGGAGTGAAGCAGCAGGTGGAACATCCTTCTCCAGCTGCTCTCCCTCTCCTCTCTGACTCCACCTTTCTTCAAGAAAGAAAGGAAGGTATGGAAAGTACAAAATATTTACAAGGTTACATATTATATACTATATATGAATATATTAGGAAATATATTAAGGCTTGGTAGAGAAGTTAAAACAAAACAGTGAGTGCAGTGCCCAGCTGAGAGGTAAAAAGATGACATGAAGGACAGATGGATGCAGGACGCAGCCAATTACAACTGTGTATCCAGAACTAGACCTTTTTATCCATTCAATAAATTTTATCCAATTTTGAATGAGCTAGAGAGGTTTGGATGGGTGATTTTAAAAGTTATTATGGTACACTAAATCATGCCATTGAGGTTATTACCAACTGAAGAATGGCAGACGACTGCTAATCCTGTGATGTATATATATGTATACACACGTCATACATATGTGTATATGTATATGTAACGTGGTTTATGTAGGTATGCATGTATTTGGGACTATTCATTGTATACTTCAGAGATAACGTTCAAGCTTTAAGTATCACCACATCACCAAAAAATATATATTATACAGAGACTCTAGTTTCTTATAGATTCATGTGGAGGAACTACCATTACTAAGATTTTATGGGGCCTGGCAGTGTTTCACAGTAGGATAATCCTCCATCTGAGGTGCTGGAATAACACAGGAGCACCAGTTCAAGTTCCAGCTGTTTCACCTCCGAGCCAGCTGGGAAAGCAGTGGAGGATGGCCCCAAGTTTTTTTCCATATATTTTAAAGACAGGGCAGCAGATGCCTGTACCAGGCCAAGCACTTGAACCATCTTACACTGCCTCCCAGGATGTATTCTCAGGAAGTGCACTGGAAACAGCATCCAGGACACAGACCAGTACTCTGATATGAGACGGGCCTCCCAAGAGCTGGCTCAATCGGAATGTGCCACAATGCCCACTCAAAACAGGGGTTCTTAACCTGCAGTCTCTAGAAAGGATTTTAGGAATAGGTCAAAGCATCTAAAATGCCATAATATTTCATATAGGAACCTGTGCATACACTAATTTTTTTGAAGAAATTCTACATCCTTTTACCAATTACTCAAGGGTACCAAAGATCAAAATAATGAAAGACTCATCTGTACAAAGGAATTAGCAACAGAAGATCCATGCTTAGTCTCCATCCTCTATTTGCCTAGTTCTCATAATTCAAACAATGAAATTCAAAACTGTCCCCAGGTCAATCTCAAAATCCTCCATTATTTTTTTCACAGGAAAAAGGATTAAAATAATTTCAAGGTATATCATTAAACTTAGTATTAGCAGTAGACCACAGTTTTCATTTTACACTCTATTTTACACTACAAAGGAAATGCTTTATAAATTCTTATTGAATTAATGGGCAAAGAAAACCTTACAGAGAAAAAATACAATTTTATCTTGTAAAATTACACATCACATAACCAAATCAGCACTTAAGAAATAAACTTGCCTATCAAAAGGTAACTCCTGGGCAATTAGATGCAACTTCTGGATGATGTCTGCCGCCTCCTTTATCTAGTAATGGATTAAAAAGCAATAATTTCATTTAAAAAGTATTACACATATCAAAGGTAATCATGTTTTGAAATATTAATCTCTCTCTATATAGATGCAAACAGCCCCTCCCCCAAATAAATTTCCTTCAAAATTATACCATAAATAAAACCTGTAAGCAACAAGAATCTACTTGCAGCATCATCAAATCCAAGCCAAACATTTGACTTACATTGTAATTTGTGATTTTTTTTTTAATTTTGATGCAACAACCTTTCCCAATGAAAGCTGCAGTTCATGTTTAAAGAACTATCAATTCACATCACTTATGTACTGAAAACAAGTGTAAATCTCTAAGTTTAGGAACTCGAAAACAATGAACAGTGCTTATGAAAATGATTAGGAACATTGCTGCATATACTACACATTAAGCTAAATGAATAAAAATCATCACTTAATAGTAATATATATTTCCAATACGTAACCTAAAAGCAAAGATAAAATTTATTGTTAAGTCTCCTAAATCAAACTATGGAAATATAGTTATTCAAGTTGCAGAACTTAGGGACTTAAGCCAGAATTGTTTAATTATAGGTATTTGTGCTTATCTATACAATGGTGTAAGGCAGTTATGTAATGTTCACATTCAATTTTCAATGTTCATGCTGAATTTTATCTTGGCAAAAATTAACTAATTTTGATGATTCATTTTCTTTTACATTAAAAAAAGAGAAGGAAGAGCTAGGAACATTAACATAGATATTTTTTTTTCTGTTTAACGTAGATATTTCTATGTAGTCGTGAACTCTGGCAGGTGCACAGATTACAAGGCAGGGCCGTTCCTACTTCTGCTACAAATGATACTGAAGACAGCACTAAAGCTTCTGTCATCTTCTCTCTTGGTCAGGTCATTTCAGCTACCAAACATGCACTCACTCCTGCTGCACGTGGGCTCAGAAGTGCTCCTTACCACGCTGCTGGGTTGTGCCAGCCAGTCCATCATTTCTTCTAACTGATATCCCTTTCAGAAAGAATGTGACTGACACAGCCAACTCCACGCTTCTTTCAAGTTTGTTACTGTTCTAAGGGACAGAAACCCTCACTACTTGCTATATGCCACCACTGCTTAATACAGCAAGAACCATCATGCTTATTTCTCCCACAGTTGATTATTTTGTAAAATTGTTTAAGGCACAAGTAGCTCTTAAATAAGTTACAAAAAAATATGGCTCACGGAGTCACTAGGCCTCATCCACAGAAAGAACACTGCGCTAGGTTCTAAGGAGACAACCAACACACACCGAAGGAGAGCGGGGATACGGGATGTTTACAGGAAAGGTGAACACTAAAGATCAAACAACACAAAATGACGAGGAGGTAGGAAAAATAGAATAGGGTACTTATATTCCATTTTAATTCTCCTCAAATCACACATCTCTCAAGCTATCAGCACAATTTTCCTTTACTCCCATCAGGAAAGTATAAAAGAGGTCTTAATGTGGTTAACTGTGAGGGTACCAGGCCAAAATTGACAAACAGTGATATAGTTTAGAGAAAAACAAGGGAACTGCAAAACCTCAAAATTAAACATCAAACGACCCTCTAATGTGAATGGTGTACACCTAAGCAGGCCGACTCACGGGGGTAAGACAGCTGCATTCTGCTTACCACACAGCATAAAAGCACTACTCAGTCTGACAAGTATAATTCAAAATACGAGTCTCAGTGTTCACTTCAGCAGCACATATACAAGATATGAGACTCGAATTATAGATAACTTTTTCTTATGCAAAACAGGATACTTAAAATATGTATTAAGTATTCTCATTAGATAAATGTCTGTTTCAAAAACAAAAATACTTCTATATAGTATCCTGAAAAACAGTATGGTGCACAAACCTTGCATCTCTCTCTCTCTGTAATTATGCCTTTCAAATAAGTAAGACAAATATTACAGAAAAAAATTTTAAATAACAATCAATAAAAGCTAGATTCTGTATTTTACAACTTTTCAATTATTATTTTTCTTGCATTTCATAGTATTAGTATTATTTTATCCTGGAAATATAATTCCTGGAACTCATTCTTTACAATATTCTATTTTTTGGATGACTTAGGTCTACACAAATTGTAAATTTTACAATTCCTTATGATAATACAAAAATATTCTGCTTAATTCAAAGTGAACTTCAGTAATACCTAGTCTCTGACACCCTGTGAAGTCAATGTGGAGTAGTCAGGAAGAGAACAATGCAACGTGTATTAATGTTCCAGAAGGATGTCTTTTTCATGCACTCTTTCCTTTAGGGAGGAAAATGAGGCAAATTACCAAATCTTTATAGATCACAGACCAGCCAATTCCACAAAACTGTACACCAGGATTAAGGGACTGGTGCAACAAAAAGGATTAACATGAAGAATTAATTCAGATTTTCCTATCACCTATGATCCAACTGCTTTAACTTTTTATTAGGAATTCTTATTCAAATAATAAAAATGAAAAGCTCTGAAATTCTTTAAAGAAAGACTTTCCACTTGTCAAAGATTCTGATTACTGGCTATAGAAAAATCTGCTAATATCAAAAGCCAATGATGTAAGGAAACGTGAGTACTCATGATACAATTACCTCAGCATTTCTTTTTTTGTTTTTTTAAAAATTATTTACTTTCATGTGAAAGGTAGGCCTACAGGTACACAGGAGAGAGAGAGAAATCCTCCATTCAAATGACAGTACTGCTGGGCCTGTCAAAAGCCAGGAACTTATGGTTCTCCCATTTGGGTCATTCTCTGTTACTTTCCCAAACCAACACCAGACAGTTGGATTGAAAGTGGAACAGCTGGGATTTGAACTGTGCCCCTATGGGACAAGGCAGAAGCTTAATCAAATATGGCCCCACCTTAGCATTTTTAAACCACATTTAAAATCATAAACAAAAGTTACCAAAAAAAGGCAATCTAATTAAAAATTTTAATATCAGTATTTCATTGGTAATCTGCAGGCCACTGTACTCATTTAGACTTGAGAACAATAAAAACTTAAATTTGAAGTCTGACTCTAAAAAAGTATTCACTGTAGCTCCTGATCAGTGCTTTGTGACTAGCACTGCAATTTGCTTTTATCTCCTGCCAGTGCTTACCTTGTCAGAATTTGTAAAAACATCAGATTTCAATTCTCCATCTAGAAACTCATTAAAATACTTCATCAGCTTCTGCGCCTCCACTGCCCGCTGTCTGGGGGTGTTGACTCCCTCCAGCTGGTCTCCCAGGTGACAGACTTTGGTGGCCACATAGCTAATGTGCTCATCTAGTTCTTGGAAATGCTGAAAAGCAACCTAGGAAAATGCCCACAAGCATAAAACACACTCAGAGAACTGATTTTATATGAGTTAATATACATCAAAACTAAGCCCCAATCACATCACCACCCTCTATAATAACACTGATTATAAGATATTCTATATAAATGATTCATGCTCATTAGCATACCATGATCTGAAAACCTTTTAAGCATGTTACTGTATACATTTAATTAATAAATAACTATATTTATCATGAATACATCTGTTGATCAACACAGCAAGGCTACTTCCCTCCTGTTTAACAAAGTAACCCAGCACCATTCAGTCCTAAACAATGAAGTATTAAAGTATCAGACAATGAAGAATGCTGAGAACTACTTTTAAAAAAGTAGAAATAAACTATATTTATTAAAAATCTGGTATAGATCACATACTTAAAAGCAATGATAATATTATACAAGATAAAATTATTCTTTCCAGCTATAAATCAAAAGACTACCCCATTATTCTAAGGCAAAGTACATTGATTCACAAAATACTCTCCCTTCTTTCAAGGTGTACTTATTACCCCATGAGAGCTGTGCGGTATCGTGCACAACAAATGCATTAGAACAGCCTTGAGCAGAGCTGGCACCACCTCAGCGCGGTGCTCTCTGACTTTAAACCAAGCAGGGACAGTTGCAGTTATTGGGAACTGTGTGTGCTACTCACTGTTCCAAGCTTATCACACGTATTTACAGAAATGTGACCCACACAACAAAGCATTCCAGAAATGAAACACTGAGGAACAAAGAGACTAAACTGCCTGAGATTAAATATTGAAAAGTAACAGAGCTGCAATTCAAAATCAGGCAGGTCCCATAGCTTGTTAGTTAATTAATTCTGCTACTATCTAGGAAAAACTCAGTAGAAGCATTTGAAAACTGTCACATTAACAAGTAAAAAACACATTTCCTATCTTATTTAAATTACCGGCTCCCTTAATAAAGTATTTCTCATAACTACATTTGCTTAAGCAAAACATATGTATGAAGTTTTAGCAGAAATAAACTTGCTAAATCCTAACACTAATAACCAATAGCTCTTAGGAGGCAACAAAGCTAAACAATGGTGATCAAATTCCATATAAAAGGGATTCAGGGTTCCAGATTCTAGGAACTAACAGTGACAACAAAGGTTGGCCTGCTTAGTCAAACAGCCCATCATGTGATCAGGACAGAGGGAGAGTTCATCGTCTGCTTTCCCACACAGAGTTCTCACTGCTTATACATGTCAGGACAAACCTGACCCAGGCAACAGGTGGGCTGACACTACTTTGTTCTGTGATAACAGGGTTTGACAATGCCTACCACAATAGTCAAAATGCAGGTCTTCTGAAGTAACTTCCTGCACATTCGCACTGTCAGAAATGAAGCAAGGACCACAATCAGCAGGATGGCAATCTACTGGTGGAAAAGCCAGTGCTGTGATCCCAAACCAACGCCCCACAGCAAGCCACGGCCAGCAGACTTGATAATGACTTAGCATTCTATCCCAAAACACCACAGTGGTGAAGAGAAAGCTAAATAGTTACTATCATTTGACTGAACTTGTGAAGTGCTTAAACCTAGAAGGAAATACAGATATTACAGACTATATTACATAAAATGTCCAATGCTGAGCTAAATATTCACCTGGTTGCTCTTCTGGAGCTCTTGCACCTTCTTGGCAAATTCCTTGGCTTCTTTCTGGCATTGTTGCTCTAATTTCTCCACTTTCCTTTGGATCCTTTCATCCATAATCTGGAGTTCCTGAATATGGTTTACAAATTCTTCTAGTAACCTAACAGAAAATAGAAAACGCATCAATATTTAATCCAAATGAACTGACCAATTCACTTCTCTGAGCCAAGGATGAGCATGTTAACTTTCTCCACAGCACCTTGCTAGCAATTTACTCAGGGAAAAGACAAAGTCTGTAACCTGATGACGTTTTTATGGTCCCGCCCAGCCACATGGCTTTCAAGCACGACATGTGAAAACACAGCCAGTAACTTCAAAGGTGAATGAACACTTCACCAAGAATTCCCCCCAAAACCTCCAACTTTTAAATGTCATACCCCATAGTCTACTTAAAAAGAGGTAAGTATACTTTATAGTACTGCCCATTCCAGGATTCAGTGACTTTCTGCAACAAATCAATCCAAAACAATATGTTCAACACATTTTTCTTGTTTAATAACCCTTTATAATTTATTACTAAGCTAAGAATATAATAAATTCCCACGCTCAGTAAAGCCCCTTCTCAAATACCAGTCAGAGCGCTTCTCTAAAAGGCAGCGCCAGGCACAGTGAGCGCAGGAGGCTAAGCGTTCACCCAGGAGAGCCACATCCCCCCCTCAGGGTATCTGGGATGCACTCCCCTGGGTGCTGGGGATCCAGCTTCCAGGAACACCTTCTCAACACATCAGGTAACATGGGTAACATGTCACCATGTGTTGTGGGCATCTGGGGAGCAAATGAGTGGACAGAAAAAGCTCCTCTCTTTCAAACAGATAAAAATGGATAAATATTTAAAATAACATGAATGTAAAAGGAAAGAGAGTTCAGACTTACTTATCTTTGGGGTACTTTACTAACTGAATAAAAATGTCTACATGATATTAACAGTAATCTCAACAATGATCTCTACTTTAAACACAAATTTGTGGCATTAGTTTGGTTTTATAAGAATCATAATAGATTTTTTTCTTTACCTTTTGGGATCAAAAGCTTCAGGCCCACCTCTAGAGCCTCCTCCTGGGGTTCTCCACACAAGGCGCTCAATGTACTCATCCGCCACGAAAGGCTCCTGGGTTACAACACAAACATGCTGTGACTAAGTGCTCTGGGAGACAGTATTACTTAGATAAATACTTTCTACTACATGAGAATTAAAAATGGAATTATTAGTTATCTAAATATGCCCAATCCTTACATTGCATGCGCCAGGATCCCATAGGGTGTCAGTTCATATTCTGGATGCTCCATTTCCCATCCAGCTCCCTGGCTGTGGTCTGGGAAAGCAATCGAGGATGGTCCAAAGCCTCAGGACCTTATACCCACGTTGGAGACCTAGAAGAAACTCCTGGCTCCTAGCTTCATCCCATATGGGATGCTGGTGTATACAATGCGAGGATTTAGCATCTAGACCATTAGGCCCTGAACCCAATAAATAATTAGCCAGAAGAATCAAACAGAAATGTGATCAAAAGATTTTTTAAAAAGAGAATTTATGTAATATGCCCCATAAAATGGAGGAAATATGAAGCCTCACTAGTAATGAAGTAAGTTCATTTTATCATTTTTTAAATTTCACAAAGTATTAATAAAAGTGCAAGAAAGGATAAAATGAAACTTGCATTCTCGTTACTCTTTGAAAGGTTGGTCATTACTGGGTAACATCAACTATCAGAAACACTCACACCCTGAACCAGGTAATTCTAGTTTTAAATTGTAACAGAAAAGTATACATGAACACAAAATATTCACAGAACTGTCACCAGGAATTATGTATAATAGTGAATAGTTTTATAAATATTTAATAAAACATAACTGACAAATTATGATAAATTTACACAATGAAAAATTATATTCCTGGTAAAATAGTGTTAATTAACATTCAAAGAAATAAAAATGCTAACATGATACCTGATTTTTAAAACAAGATATAAAATTGGCTTTCTCAAGAAAAACATATTATTTACTAAAAAGGATCACTAAGTCCAATGACCAAAATAACAAATGTTTACCAGCATTTCTGCTTTCTTTACTCTTCATGTAAAAAAACTAATATATGCATACTTAAACAGGCAGCATTAGCTGAAAATGCCAATTTGGCTTTTTAAATATCTGTAAAAATTATTTATTTGTTAATCATACTGTAAAATCATTTTCAATGAAAACTATTCATTGGGCCCAGTGTGCTAGCCTAGTGGCTAATGTCCTCGCATTGCACGCACTGGGATCCCATTTGGGTGCCAGTTCTAATCCAAGTGGCCCTGCTTCTCATCCAGCTCCCACCTCCCTGCTTGTGGCCTGGGAAAGCAGTAGCGGACAGCCCAAAGCCTTGGGACCCTGCACCTACGTGGGAGACCCAGAAAGATGCTCCAGGCTCCTGGCTTTGGATCGGCACAGCTCCGACCGTTACAGCCACTTGGGGAGTGAACCAACAGATGGAAGATCTTCCTCTCAGTCTCATCCTTTCTGTATATCTTATTTTCCAATAAAAATAAAATAAATCTTTTTTAAAAATTACATTCTTTGAACAAAACAAAAAGCCTTATAGTTCCAAGCATTTTGCTAGGCTTTGGAATAAAAAAATGTACAGAGACTACAGGGCCTGGTGCTGTGGTGCAACCGATTAAGTTGCCACATGCAACATGGACATCTTACATGGGCCTAAGCTTGAGTCCCAGATGTTCTACACTCAATCCAGCTCCTAACTGATGTTAATATGAATATCACCAGTCACTAGGAAAGTAAATGGTCAAAAGAAAATACCACATAAGTAGGTGTTAGAAGGATCTTGTTTGGACCCAGGATGGCTGCCCAGTGGCTAATGGGCACTACTATAATGCATTAGGATCCCATATGGACACCAGTACGTATCCCAGCTGCTCCACTTCCCATCTAGTTCCATGCTTGTGGGAAAGCAGTAGAGGACAGCCCAAGGCCTGGGATCCTGCACCCACTTGGGAGACCTGGAATAATCTCCTGGTTCCTGGCTTCAGATCACCTCAGCTCAGCTCCAGCCATTGCGGCTACCTGGGGAGTGAACCAGTGGATGGAAGATCTTTCATTCCTTCTTTTTCTTTTTTCTGTACACCTGACTTAAAATCTTTTTTTAAAAAAGATCTTGCTTTAACATAAATGGCTTTTCCAAGTCAGCCAAATAACTGAAAACCAGAGCATTCTAACCCTGTTTCTTTCAGAAAACTGTCAGTATTGGAAGGCATGAGATCAAGGCTTAAGATTTAATAAGATTTATAGTTACTTCCAATTTTTTTTCAGTTAGGGCCAGTTCTGTGAGCAGCACCTGCAGAACTGCACATGACCGCCAGTTCAGGTCCTCACTGCTCCATTTAGGATTCAGCTCCCTGCTAACACAGCTGGGAAGGCTTTGCATAGTTGTATTTTTAGCACATCTCAATTCTTGAGAGACTAAAGAGCTGGTGCATATATAATAACCTTCAACTTATATTTATGAAAATTGACAATTACTGACTTAGGAAAAAGAAATTTATATTTAGAGCTATTCAGAATTTTGGAAGCAAAGTTGCTTAAAATTCCTTTAAACTCAACTAGAACATTAAACGCTCTAAATAATGATGATAATTAACCTTTTTTAGCTTTACTATGTACCAGACATGTGCCTAGCAGTTCACATACCTTAGCAATAACTTAAGTCTTAAAATACAGTATCCTCATTCAACAGACCAATTAAGAGTCTATTACGGGGAGTCCACTGTATTAGATACCAGGGGCACAGCAGAAAAGTGGACTGTCTCTGCTCCTCTGGATATACTGAAGGGCGGTGACAAATGCGCAAATAGAAAAATGGTAACAACTTGGAAGAACAGAAAAAGCACAGAGTGACAGGTAAAACTGGGATTGCTACTGATAAAAGCAATCATGCAAGGCCTTTCAAAATAAATGTGAAGCTAAAGCAGGAGCCACCTGAGGCACGAACGCTCCAAGCACAGGAAACACTCAGTGACAACGCCAAGCCCGGCCCAGGCAGCTCGCGCCCAGGGAGACAGCTTTGCAGCAGCGGGAGAGGAAGGAATGGTCAGAGTTTATACCAAAGCCATATACAAAATATCTCCTATGATACACTTTGGTATTAATTCAAATAAGGCTGAGTATCCCAGAGAAAGGACCCTGTAATATGCTGGCAGATATTCAGGCAGAATCCTCTACCGCTTCTCCCAAAAAGAGCCCAAGTATTCACCTTCCTCGACCAGGGACCAGAGAACAGCCACTCCGAAGTCTACTGGACACAGGGTCCTAGCTGACTTTAACACCTGACTGACCCAAGGTCTTACGGCCCTTATCAAAGTGAGGACATGTGAAACCCACGTAATTCAAAAAATTCCTAGCCAAGGTCCATTGTGTCCATGAGCCGAAAGGACAGACACGCCCCTGCCTAGTGAAGCTAGCTAATCAAACAGGATAGCAAAAATCAGTGTAACCTTAACGAGCTGAGGCAAAGACCAACATTTATTTTCTTCTTAAAGAAAAGGGCAAGAAATATTTTAGGATTTCAGACTATATAATTTCTGTAATAATTCAACTCTGGATTGAACATTCCACCCCAAAGATAAAATAGATTTAAAAAGCATGGGGCCTGGCACAGTGGCCTAGCAGCTGCGGTCCTCATCTTAAACGCATCAGGATTCCATATGGGTGCCAGTTCTAATCCCGCAGGCCCCATTTCCCATCCAGCCTGTAGCCTGGGAAAGCAGTTGCAGATGACCCAAAGCCTTGGGACCCTGCACCTGTGTGGAAGACCCGAAGAAAGATCCTGGCTCCTGGCTTTGAATTGGCGCAGCTCTGGCCATGGCACTCACTTGGGGAGTGAATCATTCGACAGAAGATCTTCCTCTCTGTCTCTCCTCCTCTCTGTATATGTGACAGGAAGATCTTCATCCTTTCTGTATATCTGAGGAAGATCTTCCATCCAATGGGTGCAGTGTCCCAAAGCCTTGGGCCGTCCTCAACTGCTTTCCCAGGCTACAAGCAGGGAGCTGGATGGGAAGTGGGGCTGCCTGGGATTAGAACTGGTGCCCATATGGAATCCCAGCGCATTCAGGGCGAGGACTTTAGCCACTAGGCCATGCTGGGCCCCAACTACATATCTACAAGACATTTAAGTTAGACTCAAAGACACAGATGAATTAGAAGTGAGAAGGAATGGGAAAAAATACTCCTTGTAAATAGTAATCGAGAGAGCAGGAAAGCTATAGTAGTATCTAAAAAAAAAAAAAAAAAAACACCTGTTTTTAAATAAAAAAGATAGTAAGAAAAAAAGGAACATTCTATGTTAATACAAGGCTTAGTACGCCAGCAAGATACAGTAACTATAAAAACTCCTATAGCCAATGAAAGACCATTCTAATCTATAGGTCAAACTAACAGTACAGAAAGGAAAGGCAGTTCTTTCAAAGTCAAAGAGAGGAAGATTACCTATCCACTTCCCAAAGGGCTACAACTGTCAACACAGGTCAGGCAGTCAGGACACCGGCACTGCAGGTAGTGGCTTAATCCACGAGGACACAACACTGGTCCTAAAGGTTCCACAACCAACGCTGGAAGCTTCCACATCTTACTCTCCATAACGGACAGAGCAACAAGCTAGAGGCTAAGTACGGAGACAGAGGACGGCACTAGCACCTTCTACAATATAAGTTACAGACTTTAAACATCTAGTCCTCAGTAAAACAAGACAGCAATAAGGAGGCAGAGAATTTAATACAATAAACCAACTAAATCCGACAGCCATACTTGCTTACAAAACACCCAACACCACCAGTGCACACTTCTGCTCAAGTGCACATGGGACATTTTCCAGGACAGACCACACATTAAGCCATAAATTAAGCCTAAATAAATTTTAAAAGACAAACATCACATAAAGTATTTTCCCTGACCACAACAGGATGAAAGAAAAAAATCAATAGCATAAGTAAAACTAGCAAAAAAAAAAAAAAATCACAAAACTGTGGAAATCAAAGAACATATTCTTAAACAACCAATGCATCAAAGAAAGCAGTCTGAAGAAGAAAACTTACAACTATAAACTCCCACACT